CATGCCGATTGCTGCGCCGAGGGCTTCTCCTTTTTATCTCAAGCCCTCGTCATCATTTCTCCCCAGGTCGCGCCGTTTCCAGGCCAAATTGTGTGTTTGGTTTCTCTCTTAACTCGACTAATTAAAGGTGCTGTCTCTTGTATCACTGAAAGACGACAAAATTAGAAATTACTATACTCTCAGGAAATGAGAGATTTTGTAGCCTTTTCTCGTTTGTAATTTTGTTTCTATATCAGATTTTTTTTTAAACCTACATTTAAAAAAAATTGCAAAATTTGCCGCCCCCTAGATTTGCCGCGATGGGCCGCGGCCCATGTGGCCACCCCCTTAATCCGGCCCTGCCAAGTTTTCATGTCCAGTATTAAGGGAGCTATTCCCTTTCAAAAAGCATGGCATAATTAACCATCGCGGTGGTGCATACCATGGTTTATCACGGTTACCATTTCTTTCACCTCAGTTTCAGCTTTCAGTTAAACATCGAGTGCAGATGTGTGCATCATTAAAATTGATTATTCCAAGATGGAGGAAACCATGGTATGCACCATTGCACCACCAACCACGGTGGATGGCGCCATGTACCGTGGTTTTCGAAGGGCAATATCTCCGTTCTCACTAGGCGCAGAAACTAGGCGTTTTGGCGGATCTTATCATTTTTTGCTGATCTGTAAGCTCAAACTATCAAAATGTGATTCTATGGCTAGCTGAACTGACGCATTTTTGAATCGTCCGGAAGTGTTACTGTTGGTAGCTCTGCCATGAAAAATAGTCCTCGCAGCGATTTTTAGCGAGGCAATATTTTATCCTGCAGCATGTAGCTCATAATGAGTCAAATTAAATTCACGAGACGCTAGATTCGCAGGTCGCCATTTTTCGCGTAGAGGCACGCTGAGAAATTAACGTATACAACAAACCAAATTGTCCTGAATTGTGAATAACCACCGACACTCGTATCGCGGAAAACAATGAATCAGTCATTCTCAAAAAGACTTAAGTGCCAGAATTGAAAACATGAGCAATATAATAGAAACCGTATCACTCAACCCATTTTAAACCTCATAATAATTGACATCGTGTTTAATTACTTCATCGCTCTAATATTTCAGCGCTCCGAGATTCAGAACGCGTCATTAAAAACGGGTTTTGCCGGGTTTTTTCGCATTTCCGTTTTCGGCGCTCAGGTCTTTTCACGAGTGACCGATTCAATTATCGACGAGCTTTCGTACGATCTCGCAACGGTCGGACGCAAGTTTCCAAAAACGACGAGGCGCTCCGCTCGGAACACGGGATTAAAAGGACGCATTTCTGCCGAACGGAACTACGTGCATTATGTCGTGATCCCTGCCACGCATATATTCCTACGGGTCTCAGGGCTCATGTCTGAATGCACATAGTTCCGTTCGGCAGAGATCCGTCCAATAAAAGTTCATAATAACAATGAAGTTACACTTCATATTAATGGCGTTGCGACGCGACGCGGCGGCGGTAAAGGCAGCCGTTTAACCCAATTACCAGGAGCATTTAGCGGCGCGACCTTGGGAGAAGTCTTAGCAGCGTTTCGACCATATTTGGTATGGACACGACGCCGGCGCCGCGACGCGCGCAGGGTCAGGACGAATCGCGTCGCTCGCGGATTATTTTGCTCGACGTCCGCACGCCGCCCCGCCGCGGGACCGCAGACCCGGGTTCCAACTTCCGGTTCGCGGAGCTATCCTCACGTGGGTGATTTGTCGGGACTTGGGACGCCGTCACCCGAAAAGGAAGCTCTTGATTGTATACGTTACCCGAGAATGGAATTTCATAATTGGACGTATTTCTATCGAACGGAACTATGTGTATTAAGACATGAGCCCTAAGACCCATAGCATAATATGCATAATAGGGCTCACGTCATACTGCACATAGTTCCGCTTAACAGAAATACGCCCAAATGGACTACATTTTGCGATTAGGAACTACAATCTCCGGCTCATCCATGAAAACAGATATGGCATTGCGTTGCTTTTAACCTGAGCCAGACATTGGACAACATTTTGCAATTAGGAACTACAAATTCTGGCTTAGTGAAGAAGCAATTTATGTACCAGTAGTTTCCCTGTGCATATAAGTGTTTCTACGGATGAGGCAGAAATTGTGGTTCTTATTGTTAGTTACAAAATGTAGTCCAGTAGTAGTTCCTTAGTTGCAAAATGCAATCCAATCGTAGTTACTCATTGCAATATAGAGTCAAATTGCGATTTGTAAAAAAAACCAGCGGTAAGCGGTCATACTGCAGGAGCGTGTTCTATGGGTAACAATTTCCTTTTATCAGGTTTTTCCCTCAAAATTTAACCTCGGGGGAGCTACACCCCCCTTCCTTCAATTCTTCAGGAAAACCGTCGTTTCCTCTGACTTTTGACAACAGACAAGGCCAAAACTTATGAAAAATGGCGACCTCCCATAACTTTGCGCTACGAGTTCATTCAGCGCAGAATGTATAAAGTTGCAAAGTGCTTAGTGGTCCATTGAGGTTCATTGGGGGGAGGGGGATATCGCCCCCTTAACTTCTTAGAGGGCCCACTTTAATTCTTGCCGTGAGGGGTAGATTAAATCGGTCCAAAATTACTCTAAAATCGGCCGATCGACCGGAATTTCCCCGGTTTTTCTGCCTGCTTGCGGGCTGATTTTTGAAATTGATAGACAAAGCTATAGACAAAGAAGACAACAGGGATACGGAGGGATCCTATTGGTGGAAGCGGGTGGTTGCTATGGACAAAGGACGTAGGTAATAGACTAACTAACGGCAGCCCACGAGAGACCCGACAGATAGTCCATCATTTTCTCCCTTAGTCTATAAGAGCCACCCGTTTCAACCAATAGGATCACTCCTTACTCTCTATATCTTCTTTGTCTATCGCTTTGTCTATCAATTTCAATAATCAGCCCGCAGGGCGGAACATTGTTTAACTTCGTTCATCAGTTGAAGATGATGATGATGCGGTGTATCCTTCTCGGAGCCGCCTCCATAAGCGTGGCGTAAAGCTCAGAGGCTTGACATTCCCCGATTATATTTCCGGGGAACTTGACAATGCAAAGCGGGAACAAAGCGGAGGGAAAGCGGAAAGATGCGTACGAATTGAGGGGGGTTTGCATAGTGACCTAGTTCCGTTGAATCTGAGAACCTTGGCACAGAACCGTCGACCGAGGCACCGTCACCGCCGTTCGGCCACCGAATCTGTGACTCCGGCTAAGATCGTCTGTTTACTCGCGGATATTCTCATAAACTTGCTAGAGTATTTCTATTTATATTTTTCACCGCGGTCGGGGTGTCATCCGCCGTCTCCTTGAGTCTGGTCCGCACCGATTTCCCAACGGATAAATGAACGTATTTCTATCAAACTGAACTATATGCGGTGGGAAATATGGGGGGGGGGGCGGCGCTCTTTAGTCGAATGCCGTAAGAATGGATGGGAATTGCAAAGTCATTGTCATATCATCACATATTACACAGTGTTCATCAGGAGTTATTATTTTTTTTTTTGGATTTGATAAAATCAAGCAGAATTGGACTGCATTTTGCAATTTTGGAACTATAAATTCTGGTCCGGTTTAAAAACCACGTATGTGCCATTGGTTTCCATATGCACATAAGTGTTTTTTCAGATGGGCCAGAATCTATAGTTCCAAATTGCAAAATGCAGTCCAATTGTTCTTTAGACTGTCGCAACAACCACATGTCACTTTGAGGTCTCTCTTTCATTTTGCCCGCCGAAATATAGTACATTGGGAAAACACCAAACGGGCGTACTTCTGTCAAACGGAACCAGCGACAGGAGGGAAAGAAGTGGTATGCTCGTTAATCGAGGGCCGTAAGAATGAATGGGAATTACAAAACGCCAGTGGCGTCAGCAGCGACGACGGGGACGAGGAGATTTCAAATTGACGTCATTTAACTCATGAGCCCTGTCCACAACGCTCTTGTCACATGCCCATGGCTCATAAGTACCACATACAGTTGGCACATAGTTCCGTTAGCTTAATTTAAAATCTCGCTTTTCAGTTTCGCCAAAAGGAATCACGCACACTTTTATATTATTTATGAAATGTTAATGAAAATATATGTTATGTATATGTTAAATATATATATGTTATTATTTATGAAATGAAATATTATTTATGATTTTATTATTATTTAAGAATGGACGAATTTCTACCAAACGGAACTATAGACGAGTGGAAAAGATGGGGTGTGCTCTAGAAAGCTTCATAAGAAAGCAATGTAATAGCGGGCGTGATTTCCTTTGGAGTAATGGAGAAGCGGGATTTTACATTCTGTCAAACGGAACTGTGTGCCAACTGAATGCGGCACTCATGAGCCATGGGTATGTGACAAGAGCGTCGTGGACAGGACTCATGAGTTAAATGACGACAATTTGAATCTCCTGGTCCCCTTCGTCGCCGCTGACGTCACTGGCGCTTTATAATTCCCATTCATTCTTAGGCCCTCGACTATCGAGCCTACCACTTCTTTCCCGCCTGTCGCTGATCCCGTTTGACAGAAATACGCCCATTTGGTGTTTTCTCAATGTACGATATTTCGCCGGGCCAAATTGGACGTATTTATGCTAAAAGGAACTATGTGCATAGGGTTAGCGTGTAACATAGTTCCTTTCAGCATAAATACGTCCGAATGAAAGAGAGATATCAAAGTGACATATGATTGTTGCGACAGTCTAAAGATCAATTCTGCTGGATTTTATCAAATCCAAAAAAATTAATTCCTGATGAACTCTATGTATTATGTGATGATATGACTATGGCATGTATTTCTTAATTTCGTCGCTCAAAAACCTTCATGGGAAATTATCCATGAAGTTGGAAATGTGTGCATCAATTAAATTGCGTTGATTGGAAACGACAAGCTGAGAATAAGTTTCGCACGTTTCATTATTCGTCTTTTCTCATGCGTTTGAATACCTGGCATGTAATCAGAAATAATAATGTAATTCCTTTCTTTTTTCCAGACGTCAATCTCAGCAAATAGCAGCTAACAATACGCCATCTTATTCAATACACACTGATGCTGGTAAGTTCGACTTTTTAATTTCTCTTTACTTCATTTCGAAAGATTTGACGTTATATTTAAGTATGATGTTGATTCACTGTTTACACGGAAAAAATGAATTGCTGATTGAACAATTAAAGTGTTAAAAAAGTGACGGACATGTTCCAAATGCACATTTTACAATAATGGAAAATGTGCATTTGAAATACGTCTGTCTTTTTTTTTACCTACAAAATTGTTTAATCAGCAATTTCATTTTTTCCGTGTGAATGTGTGCAAAAGAATTTACTGACGCACAACAGACACTGGAATTTCTACTCCCTCCCTCTTATTTGTTTGAAATCTTGCTGATTCGAGGGTAAGAGAAACATCCTCTGGATACATAATTGAATGACTTGCTTTGGAAACTGCCTAACTCTACCGCTAAGTTTTAGTTTTTTTCCATTTTAATTCTTGTAAAATGATAGCAGTTACAGGGTCGGGCTGGCTCGCATCTAAGGGCATAGACCCTTGGCTGGTTAAAGGGGCGTAATGTGACATTTTTGCAGGTAGAGCTCAGGGCATCCCCTACGTGGAGAGGGGTTCAGAAAATTTTGGAAAAGCAGCACAAGTTTACGTTATTTTCAGGTTCAAAGTTTATTAATTGTACAGAGTGAAATTTGCAAAATTGAACGTATCGAAGTAACCGAGAGACTTCTGAAATTAAAGAAAACAAAACAAATTAAAGCCACTAGACGCATCCAAGCACCATTATTTCCAAAAGGACCGAGCCAGTGCTGCGGTTTACACGAGATTAAGACGTGGGTTTGCAAATCCATCCTAAAAGAGAATCACACAAGAACCTGAAAAAAGAAGAAAGAACGAGTATCAACACAGCCGAAGGTAGGAGAGATGTGTTTGGGCCTCTCACTTAACTTTTCTCCCAAATCTGAGCGACACCTCATTAACAGCATCATATAGCAGAGTATTGAGAGCTCACGCTTCGCGTCATGGCGCCTTCAATTTTTCAGATGCAGCACGGACGTCCATCAAGTACGAATAGTTGTATCTCTGCGCCGTCATAAACGAGCATTCTTTCCCTCGCTTTATTTCCATATTATATTTGTTTGCGTCTGTCTTATTCGTAATGGTTCTTCAAACACTACGTGAATAACACAGCCGAGGGTAGGATACATGTGTTCGGGCCTCTTTTTTAACTTTTCTTCCAAATCCGATCGACACCTCATTGACAGCATATAGCAGAGCATTGAGAGCTCACGCTACGTGTCATCGCGCCTTCAATTTTTCAGATGCAGCACGGACGTTCATCAAGTACGAATAGTTGTATCTCCGCGCCGTCATAAACGCGCATCCTTTCCCTAGCTTTATTTCCATATGGTGTTCGTTTTCGCAAAAAAATATATATCTTCATTTTGCATAGACATTTCTTAAAATGTTGATGCTTTTCTGTAATAAAAAATAAATACTTTTCCTTTGCGTACAATTTGAAGTACACGAAAAAGACGAATTTTATTATTGAAGATCTAAATGTAAACTTTTCATTCTGTTTTAGTTGATGGCGCGCCACCTCCTCCCCCTCCACCTCTTACTGCTGGCACCATTCCGGCTGTGCGTTTGAAATCGGAGGTCAGTATTTATTGATTGTCACAAATATAATATACAAATGTCCATATTACAAACAAATTTACTTTTAGTTGCAGGACTTATTCTTCTTTCCCTTTTGGCTCTTTTAATAATATCCTTGTCATGTTGATCAGATGCAGAAATGTTGATGATCGACACTACAACATCGACTAAATTAAGATAGAGATTACTGATATTAGGCCTAGATCTAGTTCTACCGTGCTAAGGAAGAATGCCCTATGAACCCTCAGACGTTGCCACATTTCCTTCAATAAACACCTAATTTATTGGGAAAATTGTGAATGTCTTTCTTCAATTTTTTCAGACAATTTTGTTCGCAATTTTGTTTAAAATGTCTACAAATTTCAAGGAAAAATACGTATAATCTTTCTCAAAAATACATGTTTTATCCGGGGCAATTTGGCAACTCTTGAATGTTCATACGACGTTCTTCCTTAGCACGGCAGAGTTGCTTTCTTCTATGATGACAATCAAATCATACATCGCTGAAACGAAATAGTGGATTTTCTCTAGAGAAGAAGGTCCAAGATTACCATTAATCTAGTCTCAATATTGTTTCAGTAATATTCAAGTTTGTAAACAAACCCACCCAGGGGAATTTTAATTTTTCATCTGCGATACCGTGCCTTCAAAATCTGCATTTGGGAATTTAATCTAAAATTACACTTTTTTCCCTCCTGAGAACCATCGATGTATCCAAACTTACCTAAAATTGAGAAATGCCACATAGTTTAAAACTGAAAAATCACCTGAATTTTCTCCACGATGTAAAGATAACTATACCTCATTGCGGTAATTTGTGGGAAAATATAATGAACGCTAAAAAAATGTTCATCTAAAGTTTCTGTCCAATTAGTTACAATCTTATGGCTGCACGAAAAAAAAAACTCCGGCCGTGGAAGTCGTACTTACGGGCTATAAAAACATACCTTCCGGGCTCGGAGGCCGAAAGTTCCGGGCGTAGCACCCGGAGCAATCGAAGCTACGGCTCCAGCACCCGGAACTTTCGGCCTCTGAGCCCGAAACGGACGGTATGTCTGTATAGCCCGAAACTTTTTTTTTCAGTGTGTCCGAAATTTTCAAATAAATTTAAAAAAGAAATCCGTTTTCTTACAGCGTATATTTTAATAGCTAATGTTTGTCTGACTGATTGAAGATTCCTGAGAGGGGAAAGGAGCCTCCAGCAGCCATTCAGAATGCTATGATGACAAAGGACAAAAAGCCGTTCACCTACACACCAGGAGGACTAGACCTATCAGAAATCAGGAGCCCGCGGATGGCACGACGAATCACCAGGAACCAGATGAACCCGGAAGTGGCTCACTTACCCCCAACCCCCCAAGAAACGCAACAAGCTAGCCCTAGACAACCCCTTCCACCGGCCGCCCTGGCAGCTATGCAACCAGCGTTACCGGTCTCCGTCTTCCCTCAGCAGCAGATACCCATCACGAAGCAATACGGAAAGGCTAATTCCTCATCTGCCGCGCCACCCCCAGCACCCCCCGCTCCACCCCCGATGAGCCAAGAGCCCAAGTTCAGGGCTCCCGTCAGCAACGGGGTCACCAACGGGCAAAGATTTTCAACGCCATCTAGTGAGATGAACACGAACCAATCGCGGGTGAATCAGGCGCCGGGGTCTTTGTACATACCACCGCTCACGAAACAAGATTCCGGTGCACCCCAGTCACCGCCCTGGATGCAGCGACAGAATTCCACCCCCAAGGAGGTTCCTGTGTGGGTTCACCGGGAAACGGCTCCGTCGCCTACTTTCAATCAACAACCTAGGATAGTTCCAACTCAAGTAAGTGCTTTCATCGTCTCTAACATGATAACTGCATAGGGGCCAAACAGCCGAATCTTAGAAGACAATAGTGTTAGGACCCAAGTAGCATTTTTCAACGGAAAAATTACGATATTATTAAATTAAGTTGCGATTCTCTTATGATCTTTTGGCAATAAAATCGCTGAAAAATTCGTCAACATCCGAGTGCTTATCTTTTCCCAATTTTATCTCTATGAAATCGCGTTCGATAAAATCAAATTTTTATCTCGATCTATACCAAATTTTTGTTCGATATATTGCAGTAAATCGCCGTGGATGGAAACGCCATTTCACTGCAAATTTATGCGATGGAATAGCAGTTTATGGCAATTTTTTATCCGATAGTATTGCGATAAATCGAAGTCGATAAAATCGAGATACATTCTCCTCTGGTGCTATGTTGTAACAAATTAATAATAAACGGGCAAAAACGTTATGAGAGAGGAGATATTGCGTGAGTCATTAAAAACGACCGGAAGAGGAAACCTACGCAGTCCTGTCACTTGATTTAAAAATCTGTTCAACAGCCGTGAGATTATCAAACGTAGAATGAAGAGAATCATTGTGAAATTCCGGGAGTCATACGTTCAGGATTTACCATTAGCCTGGGTAAGATTGTCATTGTAGCGGTTGATGACGTCATTCTATCCGGGAATAGCTGCATCATAGAGTATTTCGCAAATTCTGGTCGCTCAGCAGCTAGCAGATTCTCCGCAGAATAAGCGTTCCTCGCTCGTTTCAAAACTTTACACTCACGGAAATTCGCCCTATCGCAAAAAAAAAAAAAAAAAAAAAAAAAAAAAAAAAAAAAAAAAATTGAGAGGTCAGGTATGACAACATACTGACATTTTCACGACATATTTTTTTCTCAAGTAATTTGTTTCGACTCCTTTACGAATTTTCATGGTTTATAAATGTAAAACACGAAATAATAACGCACTGGAACAAAGTTACGGACTGCACAGACGATAGACATACCGTCGCTCCGGGCTCAGAGGCCAAAAGTTCCGGTTGGTGGAGCCGAAGCTTCGACTGCTAGTGCTCCGGGTACAGTGGCCGTTAGTTACTTCTTTTAGCTTTTTTTTTTTTTTTTAGAAAAAAGGGGGAAGCTCAGAATAAGCCTGACCGAGACGGATTGTTACTTTTATCATCGATTGTAACTTCCTATCCTCAAAATTACATTTTTTACTCCACAGGGTCTGAAATTGGCATTTGTAAATTCGATTCAAACGAAATCGATTCATCCAAAACTTGGGCATTTTGTTCATATTTCTAAAGAACAATTACGCAAAACCTTCGAATATTTTCGAGACAGTTTCTTTGCATTTAGGTTCACGATACGCACTTAAATTATCACTCTCTTACTGAAAAACCCGAGCCCGAGGATTTGGTGATCATTTTTCAAACAAATGCGCTGAAAAAATTATGGCGGTTTTTACCAGAGGTATAGTAAATTCTGGCACTAGTCTACTAGCTTTTTGACACAGTGACACTGTAGAGTTCACCAGACATCATCAGATGTCTGGTGAATTTTACCATACTTTTAGTAAATGCGATTAGAGTTAGGGCCTTTACGACTATAGAGTCCGTTGATGATAACCATACTAAAATTACCAGCGCTCAAACCATACTTCCTTTCTCAGTGTTTATTTTAACAAAGATGGGTTGTTCCTTGGTTGTTCCCATTCTCGCCGCTTTACGTATGTCGCTAGGCTAGCACGCTGAAAGCATCTCTTTCCAGCATCAAATGTGATTGTAGGTAATGAGGAGATATACTATACATTTTGGATTTTAATTGTAACTCTTTCACTTTTTAGGTAGATAGTAAGGAGACTTCTTCGAGTCAAGGAAATACTAGAATTATTCCTATAAAAATAGAGGTATCACAGCCACAGTATAACAATCAAATTTCATCACCATTGTCGCCGCAAACACAGAATCCGAGTCAGCAATACCAACAACAAAGTCATCAGTATCAGCAGCAAAGTCCTCAGTATCAGCAGCAAAGTCCTCAGTACCAGCAATCGAATCATCAGTATCAACAGCCAAGTCAGCAGTATCATCAACCCAGTCAACAATATCAGCAACCGAGTCAACAGTATCAACAACAAAATCAGGTGTACCAGCAAGTACAGCAGCCTCAGCAACAACAACAGCAGCAGCAGCAGCAGCAAAGATGGCCTGTTTATGTTCCGAATAAATTCAATCAACCCCAGTCCCCAACAAACGAAAAGTAAGTTTTACATGAAATTTTAATCCAAAAGGACGCACAGTAGAACGAGCTAATAGACGAGGTCGGACATTAATTTTTTGGCTGACATCTCAACTTTTTATGTTTATTTCGTCACAAATTCTATTTCAAGGGGTGTGCCTGTGCCTGAAAGGAAATTTCACGAAAAACCCAAAAGAACGACTTTTGAACTTTTTTGTTCCATATTTTTGGAAATATGGACGTCTTTCTGCCAAACGGAACTAAGTGCATTATGACGTGAGCCCTGTCATGAATGTATTCTTATAGGTCTCAGGGCTCATGTCTTAGTGCACATAGTTCCGTCTGGTAGAAATACGTCCATATAAGCTTTCAAAGTCTCCAGATTTTGTCCGACTTCACCTATTGACTCGGTCCAGTGTGGGGCGTTTGAATTCATGTAATTTAACATTTTTTTAATTGGAATTAGTTTTAATACATCCTCTACCACTAGAGAGATGTATAAAGCAATACTAATTTGAGGGATTTAACCATCAAAATACGATTCTAACTCACGCGGAAGGAACCCATTTGATTAATAGTAGGCGTAATGCAAGTAAAACTGCAGATTGACTGCGTAGCCTAGGCTTTGAGTGAAATCAGATTGAATGCCCTTGGCTCTGTATCCATGCGAGCACCTTGAACTTGTGACTTTCAGTTCTCGCTTGCGGCTGCGGTTGAGGACTTGAGGAGTGAGCAGCCAAGCACAGCACTGCCGTGCTAAGGAAGAACGCCGTATGAACCTTCAGACGTTGCCACATTTCCTTCAATAAAAACTATATTCACTGGGTAAATTATGAATTTTTTTCTTCAATTTTTTCAGACAATTTTGTTCGCAAATTTGTCTAAAACGTCTGAAAATTTCAAGGAATAATACGTATAATCTCTTTCAAAAATACATGTTTTATCCGGGGCAATTTGGCAACTCTCGAATGTTCATACGGCGTTCTTCCTTAGCACGGCAGAGCACCTGAGAGGAGTTCATCGCACAAACAATTAAACTTCAACGGAAGATCCATTTTAATCTTGCCACGCCGCGCCGAAGCACTTTAGCTGTACCTAGGTTCATCATAATATTTCACCCATCAAGTACATTTCGACTTCCTCCTGACATAAAGACATAACTGCATTTCGGGATGAGCCCTATCGTTCATTTAACTCAATGCTTTCCCGGGCTCATCACAATGTGCAGTTACGCCCCTTTATCAGCCTAGCGCCGATTTATCGGTAGTAATCACGCACGTTTCCTCCGAGTGAGTGCAATCACCTGCTCAAGCTCATTTTATTGCCGATGAGAATCGAGGCACTGAGAATCTTATGGATTACATTTTGCACTAAGGGACCACTATCTCTGACTCTCCCATAAAAGCACATATCTGGACAGGGAAACCAATAGCATGTATATTGCTCCTCAAATGGGTCAGAAACAGTGGTTCCTTATTACAAAGGGTAATCCATATAAAATTCCCTTTAACAAATTCATAACAGGCAAAGCAAGTTACTTGATGACAACGCAGTGGAACAAGATTCCATCCATTTCCTTCTTTCGTCTAGTTGTAGGAAGAGAGTCTAGGCTGTATACGCCACTTCTAATATTTTAATTCAGGGCCGGATTTATCTACTTGCCGCCCATGGGCCGCCTGTATTTTGCCGCCCCCTTCTCATTCGTTTTGAAACATCAATAATGATGGCTTAAAAGCCATCAAATGAACGTGCCAGCGGAGGAGGGGTGCATAAGACGCGCTTACTCGTGTTGAACACATTTTTCGGGAAAGCCCTGTCAACAATACTAGCAAAAGTTCACGGAACTTTCTGCGAAAGTTAAGTTTCGTAAACTTATCTCTGTGTGGACAAAGCCTTCTTTCGTAAGAAATGAACGAACAAATTATGGAAGAACAAACATAAATGTGGATTAATGACTTTAACTTCCGCCACTGCGCCACGCAGACCGCACCGAGTTTGGCGCAATGCGAGAAGTATTCAGACAGTCTTGTAGGCGCTATGAGTTTCACACCGACCGCTGCTGAACGCACTGTGTTTGACACAATGCGTGAAGTATTCACGCAGTCTTGTAGGCGCTGTGCCTTTCACGCTGATCGCACTGTGTTTGCCGCAATGCGTGAAGTATTCATGCATTCTTGTAGGCGCTATCCGTTTCACGCTGACCGCAATGACCACTCTGTGTTTAATGGAATGCGTGAAGTATTCGTGCAGTCTTGTAGGCGCTAATATGTGTTACATGCCGATCGCCACGCCGAGGATTTCTCCTTTTCATCTCAAGTCCTCGTCATCATTTCTCTCCAAGTTCCAGGCCAAATTGCATGTTTGGTTTCTCTCTTAACTCGAATAATTAAAGGTGCTTTCTCTTGTATCACTGAAAGATGACATAATTAAAAATTACTATACTCTCAGGAAATGAGAGATTTTGTAGCCTTTTCTCGTCTGTAATTTTTTTTCTAAATCCGATTTCTTTATACCTACATTTAAAAAAATTGCAAAATTTGCCGCTCCCTAGATTTGCCGCCATGGGCCGTGGCCCATGTGGCTACCCCCTTAATCCGGCCATGTTTTCAAAGACAAAGATCAGGGAATTTTCCACACTTCCTTAATTTTGGACTGAAGAAGTCTGCTTGTTGAATACCTGTGCCTTGAATTTTGATGCATTCTTGATTTTTCAGTGGAGGACCTATCCAGTCTCGTTCGTTCAAAGTTCTGCAGAAAATCACTGATACTGACAATAACGAAGGTAAGCCCTAGGTTTTTTGGAATATCAATTCAGGGGTCAGTGGACTCGCAATCATGCGAAATGCATGAATGAACTTCAAGGGTTTAACCTTGAATGCGGTATCTTGAGGACAGTAGTAAGCTTATGTAGCTCAAGGTAAGTGAAACGGAGGTATGCGCTTCTCGACCCTTTCGGCTAGAACTCGGCTTTCGGCCCCCGCCGCTAGAGCTGTGGCGCGAAGTTTGAATTTCAACAATTTTCCAGTCTTGGCCGAAAACAAAAATAACCGTCTGCTGTTGATTGAACAAATTCAATGCAAGCGAATTTTTTGAAAAATGAACATTCATTTGTTTCTAGTATTTTGGCTGTTTTTCTTTCGTTTTTATCAACAGCAGACGGTCATAATTGTTTTCGGTCAGAACTGCAAAATTGTTGAAATTTAAACTTCGCGCCACAACTCCAGCGGCGGGAAGAGCATACCTTCGTCTCACTTACCTTGCATGTAGCTGATAAGCCAACGAGCGTAAATCAGTGTAAACTTCAACCTCTGCGACTTCCTGAATGGGTCAGTTGCGCTGTTCTCAGAATCGTGTTCTGATGCTTGATTCTTGGTGATCAGCTGAAAGTATTAAGATCTGTCAAAACAGCAACTTTCTGCGTTTAATATCAACCGTTACCGAGGTATCGCGCTTTGAAAAATTCGGTTTATGACGTCATCCACCGCGGTAGTGGCACCCTTGGTTTCTTCCACCTTGCTTTCATCTGAGTTTCACGTTGAGTGACCAGCGCAAATGTGTGTCTCCCTGACTGAAGCAAGCAAGGTGGAAGAAACCGAGGGTGTCACTACTGTGGTCGATGAGGTCATAAACCGAATTTTTCAAAGTGCGGTATCGCGGTTAATATTAAACGTGGGAAGTTGCTGTTTGGACAGATCTTAATATTTTTAGCTGATCAACAAGAATCAAGCATGGAAACACGATTCTGAGACCAGCATTTATACAGCATATTATATTTTTGAGGGAAGTTATGAATATGGTTCTTTGCAATTTTCGTACACTTTAGGATATATTGCTGATGAAATTCCCCGAAAAATCGAAACGAAAGTGTTTTCAAGTTTCCCAGAATATTTTTGTTCCATCAAAAGGGATTTGGCAATATCCGAAGGCTCATACGGCGTTTCTCCCAGCAGGACAAAATAGAATTCGTTTAAAAATGCAAGATTCTATATTTTTAGGCTTGATACTTCAGTAAAATGGCTCAGAATAAAGTGAATGTCATTATGTTCCGATAGGCATTCGGCAGGATTATCCCGATGCATCCACGTACAATACTGCGGGCGTGCCTCTGAGTCAGCTGAGAAAAATGCATCTGTCCGATGACGACAAAGCCCTCATGGATAAAGTTAAATCACAAGGTAAGTTTTTGTCATTCCAAGTGTCCCTCGGTTTAAATAACTCTGTAAGCCCATCCCTCAAGTGAAACCAAGTCTAACGCGCTTGCATTCCTCCCTTCAGTCGTATTTGTTCTTTCGTTTGCGAGGAATTCACCGTTCCAATAGTTGCATCCGTCCCAGTCAAAAGTAGTACATGTTCTGTGAATAAATGTTCCGTGCAAGTCCCCCCGCAAAGTAAGCAGAGCTGTCAGATCTATCAGCTCCAAGATCTTCCTCTTTTCAACTGTACCGAGTTTAACAGTTTACCGCATCTGGTTTCACTTTGGAAAAATGAGTTGAGAGTAATATTGAATGCAACTATTCGTAAATTGACTTCAAAAATTGAAATAAGTCGAAAAGCAATTTGGAACATGAAAATAGTCGTTAGACTTTTCTCTTAACATCTAGTCTCTAAGACGTCAAACCTCTTTTTTTAGCTTGAAACTAGACGTAGGTGCGTTTGTGTGAAACTCTGTCCAGCTGAAATAAGTCAAGTTTCAAGCATTTTATCGTTTATACCAAGCTCTGAAAGTAACTGCAACTTCCTTGGCAATATATTACACGCTCAATAGTGCAACGCCTTCAAAATCAATGTGATACAAAATGCTTCTCACTGCTTTAAGTTGCAATCCGGCCGCTGCTCACATATTGAAGGAGCAGCGAAATGGTCACTATATCGCTCTCTGAGAGGCATGAAAGTCATAGGCGTTTTCGTGCACCAAGGCTTTTTCTTATTCGATCAAAACTTTTATCGTCAATTTTTTTCTTAGAGAATCATTTCACTATTTGTAAGCTTGACACATAGTTTTCTGCGTTGACCTGTCGTTAAACAACCAGCACCGATTATCTGTGTAATGCATGGGGGAGAAACCTGTTTTAATTTTATCCTATTGGCTAATTAAGGGTAAAGACATGATTTGTCCATTCGATTGGAGACACTAAAAATTCCGTGAATGGATAATTTCCCCTCAAAGTTCCCTTCCTTCTCTCATTGAACGAACTTAGATGAACGCAAGTTGAAAAATGAGATTAATGCTGATGGATCACTTTCTTTTCTTTGTTTTTTTTTTCGAAGTTACCAACGCTATTGAACATCCTGAAGAGGCTGAGCAAAACCCTAGGTACCGAGGGAGCAATATACCGTCTCGGGTTTTCAAAATTCTTGACGATAGTGGTACGTTTTACACACAAACAAATTGAAAATTTTTCGGTGATGGTGTCACTACGGCTACGGGATATTGTATCTTCCTCTACTGCTCATTAACTTTTTGGGTTTTCCACTTCATCATAATTAGTACAGCAGGAATTAACTCATAACTAACCCATGACTGTGCCATTACTTTAGTGAGTTGGTGGATATATACTGCATTTATTTAGACTCTGGTATTGGGAATACGCTGAAAAAAGGCACATCAAGAGCTAATAAAAAATTCGATGAGATGGAAATTGAAGAAAATTCTCGATGCTACGCAAGGAAGATTCAGGATAGTCTTCAAATGGTAGACTGTGTCTTTAATAACCCATTTCTTTCCTGTAAATAATAATTTTCAAAAATGAATCGTCAATGTCATCATCTGTTCCCTGCCAAAAAAATGGTTCGCTGTTATATTGATGGAAAAAGCACATGCACTTACACATATCACTGCAATAAATAAAGATAGATACCCGGTGGCACTAATTACGGTCTCTAAGAAACTTGTATTAAAAAAAAAAAAAACTTGGAAGTAATATATTTGAAAAAGAAGTAGAAATAAGAGCGCGGAACCTCAAACTAAGATGAGACTCGAACTCAAAAGATGATTCTTGATGATTCATTTGGTTTTAACCTGTATTTTCTTATATTCAATGAAATTCAGCAGAAAGGAACTAACCCATTGAAAAAAGCTCAAGCAAAATAGCGTCGATGGTGCTACCAGAGAAATGGTGCGGCCAAAGTATCATTTAAAAAAGGAGGGAAAATACATTTTTGCGGTCTAGTGGTAAAAAATTATTCTGTGAACGGTATAATTTTTTCCCTAGAATTAGAAACTTTTTCAAGGGATGCAAAATTGAAACTTTTTTTCCCGTGCCTCTCTGTAAGTGTGGATGCTTCCTTTCTGCTCTGAATTGAATGCGATGATTTGATTCTTTGTGGTGATGGTATTCGAATGTACAGTGGACGATGATATTTTCCTTCACTCGGAGCCGGATCCACGGTATCGTGGTGCAGCTATCCCCTCTAAGGCCTTCCGTATGTTGCAAAACATGACCAGTGGTACATCCTCCTACCAATTTGGAGGTGAGGTCGAAAACTCCGCACACAATCTTTATTCTCTGCTTACACCAATACTCGCACTTTTCTGCTTCAAAATGCTACTTTCACTAAACTCGAGCAAGATTTTTGGAGCTTTGTAAATATCATTTGTTTAGTGAAATAATCAAGCAATTTCTCAAATTCAAAGGAGAAAATTACTTGTGTGCAAATCTCACTCAACATAATTAATTGACGTAAATCTAAAACCTCCAATCGATCAATAAGTAACTCCTCCCATCTTTTATGAAATTGTTTTTAAGAACTCATTCTATTTATGTCAAAATGAGAGTCAAATGAGAGATAGGAGAATGAGGAGTATATTGTGCATGAATATGTGCATAGAAAATAGAAGCTGCCTGTGTATGTATACCTAAACAGCGCGAGCGTTTTTCTTTGACATGCTGGAGAGTGGTTTGTAAAATTGACGTTGCTCAAGCATAAGCCTTAATTTTGATGGTATTTGCTTGGTTTTTTTTTAAATTTTTCTCTTCTATTGAGCTAACAGTACGGTTCTCAGAAGAGACACACATAACTCATTCATCTGATAACTTTGTATGGTTTATTCCATTTCAAAGAAAATAAATAATTAATTATTTATTACTTTAATTTATTTGCTAAAAAATTGAGCACGGCTTCACTTTTTTCATCAAAGAGCAAGACGTTATCCGGTTCTTTTTTTACACATTTTTTTCCAGCCTATCTTTACTCTCCACTATTAACCAGAATAAAATGTGTTCTTCAGTTGAAAATTTAATCGATATTGAGTTATGTTTTTATGTTTGAGTAATTTTTAATATCGATTGTAACTAATAACAAATTGTTGCTGAATCCATTCTACATCCATGTTGCAAGTTTCCTTTTGACTCAATGCTCTCATCGTTTACTGCACCTCCTTAAAAAGGGCAGGGAGGCTATTTTAATTTCAGCTTCAATAAAAAATAAATCTTCTTTATTAATGTGATTTAATGTTACCTATTGCCGATTAATAAGCAAAGAAACTTGAAATATGACTATTTAATATTTAAAAAAAAAAATCTCGATTAACTGGTGCGTACATTTAATTGAAAATTAAATTAAATTGAAATTTAATTTAAAATTGAATACAGGGAAAAAATGAGGAAAGTAGTAATAGTTACAATAGTATTAGAGGTAGCATAGATATAAAGTCAACGTCGATAAGTACAAAAAAAACTAATTAGAAGCTGAATGCACCCTTCTCTGTAAACACTTTATCAAACACTTTGTCAGGTAGAATAGCTATATTCTTTTCAACTAAAAGGCAACTTCCTCATCGAATACTATCTGATAAATTTAATGGCCCATTGTTTAAAGGCTTTCCTTACTAAAAAATCTCCTGCTCAAGTTTCAGGTCATAAATTTGAGTCGTTATTCAACGAAGAACAATCCGTATTCATCCATAAGATTTTGTAGTATGTATTTATACTTATTGTTTTCTTTATTTTGTCAGTACCAAAATCTTCTGGAAATGAAGACTATTCTCAAAACTCGCCTGTGCGCAGTGGGACACCGCAGTACGAACAAGGTATGGTTTGGCGTTTTGTTCCGCAATTTTTGTGACAGCCCTCTCCCGATGTTTAACAGTGAAATTACGTGTATTTTCCCCCCAAAAATGTCTGGATTTTGTGCTTGAGAAAAATTAATTCATTCTATGTCTCTATACCCAAAGACACAATTCGTCACCTTCCAGCCAAAGTATCACAAGCTCCATGTGACGTTTAAAAATTTCCGCCGCCATTTTATTTTTTTACAGAGGAATTGTTCAAAGAAGCTGTCCGAAAACTTCACTGAATTTTGAAGTTTTCGAACAGCTTCGTCCGAAAAGTCCGAAATTTTCGACCAGATTCAACCAACAATTTCTCTGTAAAAAAATAAAATGACGGCGGAAATCTTGAGATGCTGCATGGCGCTTGTGATACCTACTTTAATCGGAAGGTGACTGAACACTCAACTGAAATACTGAACCTTTAACTGAATACTCAACCTTTGCGTCATTCTTGTCATTGATTTTCACCCACCAACATTTTAATGCATCCGATTGTGTGCTAACATATCATTGTCGTTAATTCCAAGATTAATCATCATACAAAAGAAGTGACTGAAAATCAGCGGAGGAAAACTTTCGAACAAAACACCCACCAAAAATGGTTTTGCTCGGCCGTTTGAATTAGAGCAAACTATGTGCTTCGTGACACCACGTGCTATATCGACGGTGAAACTACCAAACCACGTATCTCGGTTTGCGACGTCGCAGACTTCCTATCATACTTTATTTTTTAAATGAAAAACTACTTAACATCTAGTCTTGAAAATTTCTGTGATTTTTCCTCTTCGTGCGGAGAAAATTCCGTGAAAATTTCAAGGAATGATGTTGCTTTGGTCTACTTCAAAAAAATAAAATGTGAGCGTAGATTTTTAAACACCGCAAACGAGATACGTGGTTTGGTAGTTTCACCGTCGATATGCACTGAGTTTATCAGAAAGGAGCCAACCCACATCTCCGAAAGAACTGAGTTCAGAAAGATTTTGAGTCCCACTAGTTATTATACTTTCCTCTGCCAAAATCTGGAAGACGAAAAGGAGTAATTAGTGTGTGAAAAGAGGGCTTAAATTTTATTTTCTGCATTGAGCCTTATGCAGGAATAAAACTTCAAACCTCTTTCTCTCAGTTTAAACTTAATGTGGGCTGGTTCCTTTCTGATGAGCTCGGTCCATATAGCCTCTTACAGACATTCAGGCAAAAGCTGGTTCATACTTCATCGGCTTATTCGATGACTTTTTCATTATCTTTCACCATTCTGACTTTTCCCATTTTGAGTGTTTGACGGCTGGATGGATTCACTTACACGATCCCTTTATGACTTTGCAAAAGTGTTGAGACTAACTTCCCTGTAATGCATCGTATTATGATGAAGTTGATTGTATTGTATTTCACTGTATTTAGCGAATGGCCACTCCCGGCAGTTTGTTCCCGCATCACAACAAGAGCATGTTCAAGAGCCTAGAAAATACACCGGAGGAACCATCCCATCCCGTTCATTCCGCATGTTGCAAGCCATGACCGTCCATAATCCAGGTATCACGTCAATTTTTGCACATCAAACTTGGGAGGAAAAAACAATAAAGGTCTAGAGATAAGGATGACTTTGATTAAGAAATTATTCTTTTATCGAAATAAGGGGGAAAAAAGCTTTTCACCAAACAAGAGGAGATTACACTAACGCCCGGTCAGAACGCCTTCCAAAACGGTGTAGGCAACACAAGTTCCCACGTGGTCGAATAGTGCTATCGTCTTGAAACGGAACATGCACTCGAGCAAAATTCGTATTGGTTCGCCTTCAATTTTTAGCGTAGGCAAGATGAGCTCCCACGTGTTCGAATAGTGGTATTATCCTCAGTATAATGGTCAGACGGTTTCTGTCGGCGTATTAGTCGTAGACACGATTAGTTTAATTTGGATCGCGTCGATTCAATCGAATCTTTTATTGGTATACTTTAGTGTCGAATGGAATTTGAGTTCGAATTTGGGTTCAAGCGAATTTAGCATTTACCATTAAACGGTCATTCACGTTAGTACACCCCATATGCTGTTTGCGTCAACTATTCTTTTTTACTTCCCGTGCGAGAAGAAGAGGTTGGGAATTTAAAGGAGGAGAAAAAGTAATAGAGTAGTAGTAGTAAAATAATTTTATTTTAAAGCGGTGCTTTAGCATCTAAGGCCATTTACACCTCTAAAGAGGGCAGTAACAGTCATAAATTTACATGGAAATATCACTAAAAATACAAAAGGGTTGAGGGGAAAAAGAATAATGGCAGGAAAGAAGTATAGGTTTGATTAAAACATCAATTCTTCCATGTGTCTCGAGTTTGATTGTTTAAGATCAACCCCTCTGTTCACTTTATTCAATTGAAGAAAGAAAATGAATATTTTTCCCTTGGAGACGTTTTAGAAGAATTCTGTCTTTCTTTTCTTCTCTTTTTACATTAACTAAATGGGTAATACGTGAAGCTGAAGTTTACTTTTGATTGTGATACCCTCTGAAAAAGATTGAATCTTTAGAACTTATCAAGACTTGGAGAACTCATCTCACATTGTTATATTACTTATTTCCCCATTAGAGTCAATACGTTATGAAGTTGCGTTTTATGTACTTATTTCATTTGAATTTTATTTTAAAGATAAACTAGAAATGGAGACCCAGTCTCAAGGCATGTGTACCCAACTCATTGCTAGATTTTTATAACTGATCAGACCATGGATATTAATTGTAAAAATACGTCAAAGAATTTGAGCCTGCATGGTAGCACCTAAAGAAATCTCCAACACAGGATTTATAGCCTCGCCTCCCATATTGTCTCCTCTTACATTTTCTACATTAACGCCTGCTCACCTTTACCCGCAGTTGATTCAAATGCTTGTACATAAAAAAGCTTGAATACCCATCTGCATCCCTCATGCACTAGAATAATTTAGAAGGAGAAAAATTACGGATACCCATCGCGTATATTTTCCACGATTTAATTTCAATCCTCGGTTCTTCTCCAATTTGCTGTTTAGAATGAGCTACATATTTCTCCTAAAGTTTTTGAAATTGATAAGCGATTAAAATTAATTTAACCATCATTAGTAATCATGCCCCAAAGAGGCTTTTGAAGAAAGTTAAAGGCACTATTTAGAGCGCTAGTTGTATTATTCCTGAGGGAAAATTCTGAAATCGTCCAAAATTTTTGGCGATGTTCCTGACTAGTTTTCTGTCCTTCAAATATACCGGTAGTTCATGAAAAGGCAATGGAGCCACTGGGCGACTTGCCTCCTTCTTCGTCTCTGGCTTTATTTGTTTCTTAACCATAGATATCAGCAGCTTAAACCGTTGATATCAGCAGTTTTAACCATTGAAATCTGCAGATTTTGCATAAAAACTCAATAGTTAACAGACTTCTGATACACGCTCAACACATATTCTTGTATATTCGCACAATGGATTCGAAGTTCTTTGTGGTTTTCATTGTTCTTGATTTCAAAGTCTAGGGATTAGTATTGGATTGCTATACCGAGTCAAAGCTACTTATTTTTCTCGGGTGCAATGCTACTAATACATATAAAATGCAACTCTTATGTATTTCAGTACAAGGTTGCAACATTATTGATACATTTTTGAATTGGACCCAATCAGCTTTAATTTATGAAATAATGGAAAAAGAATGAACATTTTTTCGAAGCCTTAACTTTAAATCTAAACTCTGGTTGATAATTATTATATTTCGACCGAACGATTACCAGGCGAGTTGTGCGAGACAAGTTTCTTGAAACGATCAGAATAATTCTTTAAGATTCATATTCAAGTCATATTACATATATTCTCACTTTACTCACGTAGTTTGTTGTTTTGTTATAGCCGACGGAAGAACCAATGAATCTGTTGAGTTAGGTGTTTCAGGATCCCATCCTCCTAAAACTCTTTCCTCTCCTCCTACACACCCCTGTATTGACGAATATCTCTTTAACTTACCCGCAGACCTTGTCAGACCTTTATCTTTGCCTCAGACTCTCCCTGAAATCGAACAGTTTTGGAATCAGTACAATTCTTTACGAAATTACGTCATTGAAATGCACAGTCGAGGTCCAAGCCCCATTCCTAGTCATCTTGTGAACATAGACTCGGCCCCTCTTGATACAAAAGAGCCAGAAACATTGAGAATAAATTCTGTAACTGAAGTGGGTCTTTCTAATATTCATTCCTATGAGCAATTTTTGGATACGAAATCCAGAATTCACATCAATGGTAGTCCAACAAAATTAGGATCAGTAGGTATTGACGACAAACAAGAAAATTTGCTAACTAAACCCTCTCAAGAGAGTACTGAAAACAAGTGCTTGACTAATGACTTTACGAAATTAATACTGGAGAAGGAACCTGATTTGCGTGGTGCAGTTGAATCAAATGATGGAGAGACGCCTGTCAAAAATATTGTGATAAAAACGAACGCAGGTAGAAATTGTAGTGGAGAGAGATCACGTTCACCAAAATGTTGCGAAAAAGAAACAAATGCGTCTGAAGTATGGAGTGACGTTTCTTTCACAATCAAAAGCTCAAAAAAGCAATCAAATGATGACCCTCTCCAAAACTTGGAACGGAGTGAACAGTCCTATGCTACTGAGGAAACTATCGAAGCAATAGATAGCTTGGTAAATTTTCAGACTACTAATCAAACGATTCGCCTTAAAAGTAGAGTACCTCCTTTGAGCGTACCAACCGAGTTTCAGGGTGAAATGAAATCATCTGATGATCGTTTTATAGATGTAAATGAGAGCCTTGGTGTTATAGCGACGTCAAGTTCGAGCATTCAGCGTGATACTATGACTCCAACATTCTCCACCGGCGAGAGTGCTAAAAATGAAGTTAGTAAAAATTTTAATGAATCTAATTCTGAGCCAGTGGAGTCTGCACCGGTGAAAGATTCAACATCTGTTGTTCATGAAAAACCAGACTTGCGTGGCTCAGACAGGGAATTCAACGAGTCCCCGGTCGAATTTTGGATGAAACTAGAGAATTGTATCGATACTGATGCTGTGCTGGGGAAAAACAGTCATTTAAATGCAAACATAGGGAAAGAAATATGTTCAAATGGAGTTGTCAATAATCCTACCTTTTTACAAAATCACTCTGCAAAGAGTCTAGCACAAGGAGAATATCATACCGAATCATATCAGAGTTGTGACTCTCCCATTGATTTTTGGAAAGAAATCAATAAGGACGATGATGAAAGGTTCCAGCGGGCTCCTTCAAAACTGACTGATACCATTTGCAGTGAATATAAGAATTTAGTTACAGAAACAGATAGTGAACAGAATGTTCCCTCCTTTACAGAGGAGCGAGGAATCTCAGAAGGCCCACCAATCAATTCACTTTGTCCTAAAATAGTGTCGCCTTCAGAAACTAGTGAAAAAATGAGTAGAAAGGATGAAAAAGAAATTATTTCCGACGATGTTCCTGATGATGGAAAAGATACGCTGCTTGAAAAATTGAACAAACCAGATCTCGAATCAGAAATCCATCCAGCTTTCCTGGAGGACGAATCAAATTCATCCGATGATTTTTGGAGACAGCTGGATACGAGTGATTCGGGAGAATCCCTCAGCCAAGTCGCGGGAACGAGTGACTCAGAATCTGACGATTTTAACGATTCCAGTGACTGGCAAGCATGGGTCATCGATGCAAACGTTAACGTAAGCACTTCAAAGAAAACTGGTGAAGCGCACGCTGAAATCAATTTTGCGAAGCCCGAAAGTCCGACGTCTGATTTCATGCCGCTTAAAATCGTGAAAAATGTAGATATTACCGAAAATAATACAAATCAGATGGACAGTTTCTCTAGAGAAATGAGTAGCAATCCGAATCTCACAACAAACCCCGACGAAGACTCTGCTATCGACTTTTGGAAAATCCTAAACGAGGATGAGACAAATGATGCTCTATTGATTAAAGATAGCATTCACTCTTCTAAGAAAGTTGAACATCGGTACTCTGATGTTATTTTTGTCAACACGAGCAAAGACACATTTACGCAATCCTCAATGAAGACAACGCAAGTTTCAAGAAATGAAAATAATTCGGAGGTTACATTTAAAAACGAAGCAAATGGAGTTAGTGGTTGTAACACGCACAGTAATAATAAAAAGGAAAATAAAAAATCGATCGTCGACTGCAGAGAAGACTCGGAGGAAATTTCCACAATTACAGAAAATATGGGTGATGAAAAATGTCCGGGCGGGGTCGGTAATAAAATCCTCTTCTTTGAAAAGAGATCCAAGGATAATTGCCAAGACGCAAATCCTAACTTTACCAATGAGGCATTTACAAAATGCAATCTTGTGTCTGCTGATGAGTCCCGCGAAAAAAGTTACAACGGTAAATTACGTATCATAGAGAGGAATAATCACCGTAATCGAATATTCGACGCTTACGAAAATAGTAAAAAGAGGAAAAGTAAAGAGAGAGAGGACTGGATCGAGGAAAAAGAGAATGATCTACCGGTCATCAAAGTTTGCGGCGACGATCCTGAGTCCAGAAGTCGGGAGTCCGAGGACGACTCCGGCGTGACGTCAGACGGGAACATCGACGTCAGTGACGTCATCAGACGTCGCCGAGTGAAAAAGTATCAACGCGCCTCGACGCATTCAAGATTGTTTCAGATTCTCGTAACGGAGGACCAAAATTCGACACCAACTTTGCAACCGAAAGTGACGTCAAATGATCAAGATGGCGATCTCTCTGCATCGTCTGGCTTTAATTCGCCAACGTGCGCCTTTGCCAGAAATCTGAGCGAGAGAGAGAAGACGTCCGAGTCAAAGGCTCCTCCTGCAGGACCCTACGACACGACTGTGCCAGATGGAGGCCATAATCTTACAAATGACTCGTCAAGGCGATGCAGCTGGTATGATTTCGATGAGAGCTTACAAGGTGAATGTGTTGACATCGTTCCATCCAAAGCTTTTAAACTCCTCCAAAGGCACGTTGAATTGTCGCGACTCAGCCCATGCCCAATGATCATAGATGGGTTTACAGGGAGATGCCCACGGATGACTGAGAACTAGAATTGACGTCAATCGTGTCAGAATGTGATTCCTTATACGTTGATCATTTTCAATGAAAAAACATAAATTACTTATAGCTCTAAGCAAAGGGAATCAGCCTGCGTTACGCTACGTCACAACCGTAACCCAACCGTTACACAACCTTAACCCTCACAATTGGTAAAACACCAACAACACAAATTAATAAAATGCATTTCTGCCTAGTTTCTACTACTTTATATTTGTCACACAAAGTATTATTTAAAATATTTCAAATTTTATCCAGCCACATATAGAACGGTTTCTAACAATTTTTGAGATATTAAGGGGGAGGGGAGGCGACCGGGCTTGCGTTACGAAGCGGTCCGTGGCGGGGCGGGCGGTCAAAATTTCCGAAAATGTGCGTTACGTAATTTATGAACGCTCCCTGAGCAAGCATTTTTGTTACATTATTCCGTGATGCATGTCAGTTGCACCATTCTTATATGACTCTAATTTTTGCACTTATATTGGATCAAAGCAGACTCCACTTTCTATTTAAAAATAATGCGTTATCATTCGAATAACATTTTATTCGATGTTTTAATAAATACGTATGACGTCATTGCTAAAAAAATTACACTCATTAACTATGACACATAAGAAACATAATATCTCAAAACAGTACCAATTAGAATAAAGATTAGCTTATGACAGTGATATACAAACGTAACAAATTCAAGTATAATTCGCTTTAATAATTAAAAATAGCTCTCCGAATCACTCATACGCAAATGAATTTGAGCAATTTACGGTTTTTCAAGCACAGGATAGTACTTGGCTTTTATTTTAGCATTAGGTAAATTTAGGTTAGGTCCTCATAAAGTATTTAAAAACTCAGGTAGTTGATTTTGTTTCTTTTTTTCATTTTTCTACTTTTTTACCTTCACACCATTTTATTAGTTTTACTGGGTTAAAATATTTATAGGTTACTTTAAATGTACTCAGACGTAGACTTTCTCTCGAAGACTTCACTTGCATTATTTTTTTGACCCTCTCTATTATCTCATACTCCTCACATACCCTGATCACCTAATTAACTCAACAAGAAGATTCCCTAATTAAAAATGTAAAATCATGTTAAGGTATCTACAACAAATTTTTCCACAACGAATTTGTGTTTTCACTGTTGCTAATAATTCAAGACGTTTACGTAGATTAATATCTGACAGTTTCTTTCTCTCTTTCCAAACCTCTTATCGTCTCTCGTCTCTGTTTAAAGTTTTTCTTTTTTGTTTCCTGTGGGCTTTGTCTGTGATTAGATCTACTCCGGTCTGAATTATTAAACTCAACATCACTCTTTCGCTGGTTCTTTCTCTTAAATCGTGTTTTTTTAGACTCTTTAACTCAAGATGAAGTATAGAGATATGCTTTTCTCATGATGATACTATATTCTTCATTTTATCTAAAATATGGATCAATCCATCAATTCTCACACACATGCACAAATTAGGTACATAAGTAAAAGGTAATAATCAATTTCTAAACGCTGGATAGGGAACTTGAATCATTCAATTTTGATTTTACTCCCTGTCATTCCGGGATGAAATTTTTAAAGCAATTTACTGGTATTATTTCACAAATTGATGAGCCATATTTTTTTATTTTCTTTTTTGCTGATGTTTTCATTCTTTTTATTGGTCTCTTATCGTAGTAATTTTCCTGTCTCGTGTTTTTCTTGGATTTTCGAGGGTTTTTTTTTTCTCTTTTTGTTTTGCTTTCATCTTCATCCAAGTATAATTTTTACAAGTTCGTTTCACGTTTACCCAACTCAAAGAGTGAGCTCTGAGATTGGCTGAGATTGCTACGAGATAAAATACTCGTATTTTTATAAGACAGCCAAACAAGATGCACAGTAATATTCGTTCGATAATGTTTGTTGGTGAGAGTTTTACATTCATCTCTCAGCAAAGAACCAAATCGCCAGCATATACATGATTCTCATTGAATTTTTCAGAATTTGCCGCTTTTCTAACAGCGAGACATTATACATTATCAAATACATATTTTTAATATTTTCCACAACGCGTTTTGCTTTTGATAACAGTTAACGCCTCTCTTGCTTTTTTTTAAAATTTTTTGACTGTTCAGTTTTGTCCAGTTTCTACATTTTTTCATAGTTTTACGACCACTTATTTTTCTTTTGCTACATACCTGGTTCAACAAATTATCTCCTTACCTAACGCTTCGGGCCTTGGGAACATAAATTTCAAGTAAATGAAAACCAAAAATTAAGGGCAAATTTCCTGAAAGAGCTTAATTATGTGCATTTCTCTTAATTTACACTTATCATCATGAAGCAAATTCACACGGTTTTTTTTAAATTTGGCAACATTATTTCATTATTCATGTCGTTATCCCATAGCGGTATTGGATGATCTTCTTGGCATTTTGGTCCCTTGACGTCTTTTTAAAAATTGATTCTGAAACAAACGAAAAGATTTCACATACCCGCCGTCTGAGATGATAATGCCTGATGGGAGCATACGTTTTATCGATATTCCCCATTGAAGCCGAGGTGAAGAATCGATAATTAAAGTGTTCGTTCCGAACACCCTGTTTATCGATCGTTTCTCGTAGGTTTAAATGGGAGATCAATCGATATATCACAAAGCACCCCAAGCCACTGATCTGTTTTAAGCTTGCTCAGCATTAATTTTTGATGATTCGTAGGATTCGTCACGCCAGCTTTTAGCAACCACTAGCAACGCATGTTCTACCTTCTTTTAAAGACAAACAATTTAAACAAGAAGAAGAGGAAAGAAAGTGAGTTAACGCAGTGAAAAATACGGTTTTTATTCGTAAGTGTTCGTTTAATTATCTTGTTTTTCTTTTCTTGTTTCGCAGATCGACCCGGCGAGTCCGAGTACTGAAAATCTTTCAATCATTTCCTCTTTTAATTCGAGCATGGTTCAAGACTTCAGTAAAGATTCGAGAAAATTAAACATTAAAAAATGAAGAGCATTTTTCATGTTATGTGATTATTATCCATCACATTTTGTACTTTATTATTTATTTGTAAAATTTATTTTTCGTTTTTTTAGAATGTAAATTAAACGTAATCACATATTTTCGTTAAATTTGATGTTTATAATAAATAAATAAATTCAACAAACAATCTATAGGTATTTGTTTATTGCATTCCCTCCCGAAGCAATATTTGATTATTGCATAGAAATTTTATTATCGACGTGTTTATGCTATAAGGAGCTGCGTGCGTATGAATTAAATAAAAAGGAAGTACGTAACAAATCAAATTCACGCAAATCTCTCGAATTTTCCTAATTCTTTCGCACATAACGTCGCTTCTCTGATTTGTGAACAATCTATAATAGATATTTCCCCATTAGAAGCTATAATAAAGAATCGATTATTAAGGTGTTGGTTTTGAACACCCTGTTTATCGATCCTTATAGTGGGAATCAATGGCAGATGAATCAATATATCGCATAATCCATCATTCACGCCTCGCCACTGGCCGGTCAAAAGTCTGAAAATGGCGCAGATCGTTAATTTTCAATGTAGCCTATACTCTAACCGACGAATGTTCCCACTCATCGATTTCTGACTAATATTTTGCGAGATTTAAAATGAAGCTTAAAAGTATCCAAATGAAAACCTTAAATCCAAGCCTTAAATTACAGGTTATTTATTCTGCTTGAATCCTACAATTTTTTATTTTTTTATTTTCTCCTAGGAATTTTAATAATAATTTAGGAGTTTTAAATAAAAACCCGTAAGCCTGGTAAAAAAACTTCGTCAAAGTAACGTTTTATTCGCAAGGGAGAGACGAATGAAACCAACTGGAAAACGGTGCTCAACGAAAGTTTGTTCAAGACTTATTTCAACAGTTGAAAATTGGAAATTCCACGAGGACCTGAAATTCGGTGACAAAGCAAAGAGCTGCACTTCTGTGTATCAAAAGGGTTGAGATGGCACTGCTTTTCCTACACAGATATCCTGTAATGCGCGAGTGCTACAGCTAACGACAACTTCCGTGAATTCCTTAGGAGGTGAGGAAAGCAAGAGTGCCTTCAATTTTTGAATATGCAACGCGCACATCCGTGGAACACTAATAGTTGTATCATGGGTCAAGGCGCAAACATCAACTCAGTCTAGCTTTTGTGAGGGACATTCGTCGATTATCGTATGGACTGCTTTGAAAAGTAACGACTCACCCCCTTGGTGAACTTTTCAGACTTTTGGCCGGCTAGTCCTCGGACTGGCTGCTCATTTCACGGATACGGCAAGAACATCGACTAGTTTGTGGACTGGGCCAAGTGTTTTCCAATCCGTGGAGTGGGCGATTTTGCCAGCGCGTGTAACACTTATATTTACACTGAGTAAACAGCAATTTATCGACATTTTTTTATCAAAATTTTTGCTGATCGCTCCGCCGTATTTTCAAAAATTTTACCATTTTTTACCGCGCTAATTTCAACGGAGACATTTGTAACTCATTTTCTATTTATGCAGATCCAGAGTTTTTGCAACGCCTCAAAAATAATTTCAAATCCGTCATTTATCTCATTCAAAAAGAACTTTCCGCACCGTTACGCTACGCTCAACTTTTTTAGGAATGTTCCTTATGATCCTATTCCCAAATGCTAGTTTTACGATTAATGTGACCTGGCAGAGGGCTCAGGGCATTACTGCCGTGTTAAGGAAAACGCCGTATGAACATTCGAGAGTTGCCAAATTTTCTCCCATAAAATGTTTATTTTTGTGGAAAAACATGAATTTTTCTCCTTGATATTCTCAGGAAGTAAAGAAGAAATAGGAAGTAAACAAAATTACACGAAAAATTGAAAGAAAAATATTGATTGGTTTACCAAGAAATTTTTATTTTATCAAAGGAAATTTGTAAACGCCTGAAGGTTCATACGGCGTTTTTCCTTAGCATAGTAGATTAGGAATGTGAAACTGCTGCCACATGGAGAAAAAAATGAATCGCGAACTCTTATCACAATTTTCAACTAGGTCCTTTCGTCCCGATAACAATGTTGGATTGTTACCACAGCAGAAATAATTATTACCAAAAAATAATTACATTACAACAACTATAAGTAGAAAAAAGATTTGGAACTGGAATCCCTAAGATGATTGTAAGAGCAATGCTTCCTTTACCTCCGTTCAGCACGTGCTTAATGCCCCCCTCCCCCCCCCCCCCCCAGCATTGCACCGGAACTCGGAGTTCAAATTTTTTGAATTTGATGAAAATTTGGCCTAGTATTCCACGCAGAATAATGTGGACCCAGAACTATTTCCGCCACCCCCCATACTTAATTTTTAAATACACTATTAATTTAGTTACTTTTCTTAGTTCATTTTTTATTTCAAAGAAAATATTTACAAGGATAAATATTTTTTCCGAAGGTCTTTAGATCTCTTCGGGCGCTCATAGAGCGTTCCTTTCTGACACCAATTAAGTCTGGCAGATTAAGTCAGCGAATGGCCCAAGTGGCCGGCGCCAGCGCGGCGCTCACTGGTGCCGTGGCGAGGGAGATTAGGATTCGGAGGTACGGACTCCGAAACCACTGTACGGTGCGGAGTGGCGGGCGTGCCTTATTTCATGCTCTGCTATTATTACCCCCGCCTTCCACAGAGCAGAGTGGCGCAGTGGAAGCGTGCTGGGCCCATAACCCAGAGGTCCGTGGATCGAAACCACGCTCTGCTACAAAAGATTTTTAATTCCAAATATCAATGTAGGCCCTTTCCTCGTGGTAATGCCCAACTAAATAGCGGTAATAATAGGTCCAATCCATTTTCCTTCATCTTTATTTTTTCCAAGTCCGCGGTCCAACCTTATTCGCTCTCATCCCTACTTTTGCCCTCGTCAGAATTTCAAAAGAAAATTATGTCTCAGTGTAAGGCGAGGGGCTGCGCAATTTTAAAAAAAAAATTAGTGATGATCGTTAATAAACGTAAGATGACTCTATACATGAGAAGCGGAATAATTATTTTCACTTATTATACTTTTGTTAGAAATCGCTAATTTTCAATCGCATTTTTTACATTAGAAAAAGCTCACCACGGGATGTTAGACAAGGATAGGAACATCATAAGTACGACTCCCAAAAATACGGGGAAAATAGAGAAGTAATCGAGAGAAAATCGTGGAAAAATTTTAGTCGAAGGCGGCAGATCCAGATTAGAAAAATATTATTCAAAATAACTGCGCCAAAAAATCCTGATTTCCCAACATTGAGGTTTTAATTTCTCTTTATCACCCTTCCACCTCAGCTAATTAAACAATGGTGTAAACATACGTACATGCTTCCTTAGGAAGTGAAGTAACACTGCTCAGACATATTGTTTTACGGTGGTTTCTTTCAAATATTCTCTCTTCGATCATCAACAGATATATTTTTATCTTTCATTCTACAGGAAAGTATAATTAAAGTATTACGCTCTAATTAATTTTTGTTTTTATTCCATTCTCTTCTCCTCTACTCTCTTATTCCTTTCTATTCTATCCTTTTTTTTTTTAATTTTGCTACACCATACCGTTTCATTACTATGCAGCAGAAGCTCAAAGAAAGGTTTAACCCGATGTACCTGGGTTAAAATGAGGCTGAAAGTATCCTCGCTGTACCAGAGGTTTCTGTTGTTTTTCTTGATGACTCCATCTGAATTAAGTAGAGAACAGATATGTCATCCTGTTGCACCACATTAGAGGTAAGTACAAAGAGCAGCGGAGGTTCAATGCCCATGCCTCCTCTGAAATCCAAACTTTCAACTTAGATAGCGACTCCATGATTTAAAAAAAATCAAAACACGCTTGCTTATTTCGATAGAAATAAAATATTTTGACGAATTTATTGATTTGTGGAAAGGGCACTGCCTTTATTTTGTCCCGCTATGGTATCACCAGTTGATATAGTCTCCGCAATTATTTACACCACCATTAATCTGTTATTGAACTTTAGAGAGGCGTTTGTTTTTGTTGTTACCGTATTTCTGCAAAACTTAGCTCCTCAGAGCGTCCGCGAAAGCTAATGTCTAACAACAGAGAATCAAAACAGCCCAATGTAAATAGGCCGATGACAGCTGGCCAGACGCAACAAGTCCAATTTTTTCTCAATGGAGAATTTCCAGCATGATGCAATGGCTAATGATCTCATATTAAGCGCCAAATCCTGATCCTCCCAAGATATTATTCTCCTGATTATTTCAACTTTCATCACTCTACTGCAGTCAGTTTTCCGGCTGAGATGTCTCAAGTTTAATTCCGTTCATCATTAAACTTTCGTGATTAAAATAAACTTAACGTGGTCTCCGCACAAGTGAATTGGTGAGTAAATATTTATGTGAGATACACTGCATGACTCTTAAAGATACTTAGTTTTGGTGTGATTTTCAACATGAAAGGGGCTGCTACTGGTTTAAAGTGCACGCTGAACATATTAATGTTGATTCGTCAGTCTTTAAATCCAGGGAAACTTATTTTTATAGTTCAGGCGTTTTACAGCCTCGGACTCTTTTCATAACGTTTTTTACAGATTTTTTGATTCGCTAGCAATTAAAGAAAATTATGATTCTTTTTCAGTCTGTGTTTCATCCCCCCTTTTTTACAGTGTAGAGCTCGGAATTTTTTTCTAATGATATTTTCGCGCCCATGGATATTTTTCAAATTTCGATCCGAGAAAATTAAAGACCCTATAAATAATAAAGTCGATGCAATTGATAGAAAATTCATGTTCACATTACCGTTTCCCTGGCTGAGAATCTAGAGCTTGTGATTTTGAGTTTCTCCAATAAATTTTTGTGCAATTTTTATTGAGCCGATAGTTTACTTAGCTCGATTAAAAGCAATGATATAGGTTCTGAGATTTCGCCAATTAATGAAATTTAACCCTTAGTTGCCCTAGTCGGGTCAAACTGACCCGGGAATCGCTGAAAATACGTGCCCCGCTGGTTTTATGGGGCCGGTACATCCGAACTTTAGATATCGGTCACAAATACATTTTTAAAAAAGTAATAAGACATCAAATTGAAAAAAAGAAGAAATCAAATATCAACACAGCCGAAGATAGGAGAGACATTTTGGGGTCTCGTATTTTTAAACTTTTCTCCCAAATCAAAGCGACAATTCATTGGTAGCATATAACAGAGAATCGCTAGCTCACACCTCGCGCCATGGCACCTTCAATTTTGCAGATACAACACAAACATCCATCAAGCACGAATAGTCGTATCCCTGCGCCGTCATCAACACATGTTCTTTCCTTTGCTCCATCTCCTCATTGTGTCGGTTCCGTTTGTCTTATTTGTAGTGGTGTTTTAAGGGCTACGTTAGCAAAACAGCCGAAGATAGGAGAAATGTAATCAAGCCTTTTTTTTCTCTCCCGAGTCTAAGCGGCACATAGTAGACAGCCTAGAGCGGAGCATTGCGAGTTCTCGCATCGCGCCTTCAATTTTGCAGATACAGCACGGACATCCATCAAGCACGAATAGTTGTATCTCTGCGCCGTCATCAAAGCGAGCCTTTTCTCTTACTATTTTTCCGTGTTGTGTTGGCTTAGTGTGTCTTATTAGTAATGGTACTTAAAGGGCTTCGTGAACAATACACCCAAAGTACAACTTGGATTAAAGGCGAGGTAAAAAAAAAAAAAAAGAGAGAGAGAACTTGAACCGGGGAAAAATGAATCTGCCGAGAAAGTTAAAAAACGCGCTCTAAATGATGGAGTCAACGCAACTAGTCGGGAAATAACTATAAATCAACATCTCATGTGTCACTTTCCCCGACTTAGAATCTGGGCCTCGGAATTTGGCGTTTTATTTTCGAAACAGTTCTTTTTCGACCAGTTACATCGACTCCGTCATTTCTAGCGCGTTTTTAACTTTCTCGATGGATTCATTTTTTCCCGGTTCAAGTTCTTTCTTTTACCTCGACTTTAATCCAAGTCATACTTGGGGTGTATTGTTCAAGTAGCCTTTTAAGTACCATTACAAATAAGACAAACGAAGCAAACACAACACGGAAAAATAGTAAGATAAAGGGCTCCCTTTGATGACGGCGCAGAGATACAACTATTCGTGCTTGAGGAATGTCCGTGTTGTATCTGCAAAATTGAAGGTGCGATGCGAGAACTCGCAGTTGAAATGCCAAAAGATGGTCATATTAATCATGGTTGGAATGAGTTAACCTGAGCAGCTGCCCTGGTTTTTGTACCTCAGGTTTGTATAACTAATAACAAGAATTTGCTGATTTTTTATTTTCGGTTGCCCATTGCAGCTGAATTTTGCCATAAAATCTGATTTTTTTGACATATTTTATTTTAAATATTTTAATCTACACAGTGCTGCAAATATTCAGTGATTTCAAAAGTAGCTTTCAGGCTAATATGAAAACTTTTTCTCATAGCTTTTTCTACTTTTCTAAAAACTAAAACCTAAAACCGATAGAAATATCGGTAAGCAAAAGTTTTGTACCATCAAGATATTATTACCGTTAAAGTGTAACAATCAAATGAGCAGTATTTTTATTGACACCTAAATGCATTTTTTATCCCCGGCAGTGGACAAACTGCTCCGAACATTCTTTCTTTTCAGGATTTCGTGGTAAGGGGTTTTTTCAAAGGGTTTGCTCCTGCAAGATACGTGTATCACATAGGAAAGTAATAGTTCAATTTTCGATTCAGCAGTGAAAAGTGGGCTGATTTTCGTGCAAATTTCAGTGAATTTTCTCCGTAATACGAAGCAAATTCCTTAAAATTTTTGAAGGAATCCGTGCAAAAATTCTCTTATAAAAAATTAAGTAATTAAAATTGCAAAATGCGACTCCCACTGATTTTAATCATAAGTTTTTTTATAATTATAAATTTAAACTTCTTTCTGAAAATTTAAACCACTAAATCTAATTATAATTTTGAAAATTATTGGTTTGACTTACTTAAAATTTTAATAGCATCTAAATAGAATCAAATAGGATACTAAAGACAGAAATCTCGATAATCCAAATTTAATAAAATTGACATGTCTCTCTCTGCTCTAACTTCGTCCTTTTCATTGAAATGTCACTCAAAATTTTCCGCCTTTCAATTTTTTGAATTTAGTTTTTAGTTTCTTCTGTGAAACAAATTATATTGTTTCGTAATTTTTGACCAATAAAGGAACATGATGAAAAAAAAGCTTAATAAAATTACTAGCTTGTCATTTCATTCAACTTCCAAAAACTAAAATAACAAAAAAAAATATTTTTAATATATGGATATTGCAATATTTGGATATCAGGGCTGCGTTGCTGAAATCAATTTGTTCACATGTTTCAGAGCAAAATGCGACTCCCGCTGATTTTCTACTCCATTCTTGCGAGTTCCCTCACTAAAGGGATGATATTCTCGTTCATGCCCGGCGGGGATGCCATCAAAAACGTGGTCTCGCCCTTCTTGAGCTCATTCAACACGACGGACGGCGAAGGCAACCCCACTTACACCGCCAACCTGGTGCGCGTCGTCGATCCGATCCTCGCCATGCAGTTCGCCCGGAACGACCTGGTAAGCTCGCCGGAAGACTACTCAGGACCATTGCACCCCTCCTATTACACCCCACAAAGCCTCGTCGACGCTGACCGCGCTTCTGACCAAGGATTAAGGTACACCTATTACATATATCCTTATGGGAATCCACCACCCGAGTCCGAATTCGTCGCCGATCCGGATGAGTTCAGGCTCTCTCAGGGACCACCATCCTCCTTCTATGTTTCAGCCCGGGACCCACTTGATGTAAGCCGTGCCGCTTACCCTGCTGAACAGTCTCAGACTTTGCGTGGAATATTCACGCCTTATCGTGCTTTGCCGCAAGAAAACTATGGATCAAGAGACGCGAGTGACTTGAAACAAGCAGGAGGTTATCAAAAATTAATGAACCCTTATCAGTATCCGCGAAGCCCACTTGCATTTACCTCTAGCAGCAACTTCGGATATGCTCAAAATAATCAAAAATTGCCTTACGTCAGCCATGTGCCTGTCAATCCCCAAGTCGACCTCATTAATGATCCAAGGAACGTTAATGATAACCAGAAATTACCTCTCCCTTCTAATCTATCACCTGTAAATCTTCTTGCATCTGAACTTTCAAGTGACTCTGGACTTTTGGAGGATGACAGGAAAACCTTCTATACTTATGCGGGACCCTCGTCAATGAATTCTTTTGGATATCAACGAGCCCACACTCCAATGCTTACCACAGATTCCCAAAAATTGACCAATTCCTTGAACTTTGTACCGATAAACTCACTCAGGTCCAGCGGATTAAGTAACTTTGAACAAATAGACAATCCTCAAAAGTTACCTCTCCCCCAGGGCTCTACATTACAGAATCCTCCACCTTTTATTCGGACAAACGACCCTTCTTACGCGGGGGATCTCCGCACCTTACCTTACCCTAACAATTTTGCGACTGTTAGTCCTGTCGTTGTTGATCCCGTCCAGAACTCAAAAAGTAGATTACCCTACCCTCTTAACCTTGCATCAACACATTCGCGGTTCAATCTTCCACCAATGAGCCCCGTTGATGTAACCCATGCAAGTAACCCTGGATACACAAATGCTTTTAAAAAACCATTTTACCCCAATGAACTTCTGTCAGTATATCCAACTGAATCCAGCTCCGTAAGTGACCGGCAAAATATTGTGCCAATCTCGCCTCGCTTCACGAGTGACCTCAGCCGCACAGATGATCACCTACCACCGTCCCCTCCAAAATTCACATCAGTTAACTCCTTAAATACTAACCTCATTAGTAACCCGGAGGCTCCAAAATATGATGAGGAACCTTCTCCAATAAGTGCGCCTATTAACGTTTTAGAAATTGATCCTGTAAACTATCCTCTGCGTTCGGAAGACGGTCAAGAACTATCCTTACCTTACAATAGTGCCTCGATGAGCCCTATTTTATCCGATGGCGTGACTAACTTAAAACACGTAGCAAAATATCCCCAAATACCCTATCTCCGCAGTCTTGCGTCTCTTAAATCCGATCGCATGCGTGACGCAAGGCTTCAAGCTGAAAATACAGTTACACCTACCTCCTTCAATCCAACATTACAGAATTACGGAACATACGGAATCAATCCGGTTGAATCCGGTGAAAGGGCCAACTCCAAACACTCAGATGAAGTCGCCGATCCCAGACATATTATTCCCATGATAAGAAGGGGCTTCGATCTGTTCAACCCATGGGTTGATTTCCCCGCTTTATATCCTGTTGCACCCGGCGGTTCCTACGGACCAAATCGTTATCAGCACCACAGACGGCCACGTCCTGAGTACTTCCGTGATGACGACGATGCCCTCTTCCCAAGTGACTACTACTTGACCGATTACGTGTATCCGATGGATGACTACCCAGTTATTGAGCGCTTCTCGGAGGAGAATTCATTTGAACCCAGACCTGATTCGCAGGTATCGAGCAGTCAAGGGTTAAAACCAGGATTCAGAAAGGACCAGCCCAATGCACCCCAACCTTTTTTGACGTCACGGATGAAAGGCCCTCCTTTGCCTTTTCGGTCGGCGAACGATCAGCCACTGAGATCACTTTCTGAAGAAGTGCCGAGTCCGGCATTGGACCAGATTCAACCACCGTTCAGAACCCTCATTGAGAAACTTTTACACCAGGAGAGTAATTCAGGTGAAATTTTGCCGATTCATAGATCCCTGATCAAATCATTGCTGTCTGGCAATTCAGGATTAAACCCAAAATTGGATGCAATTTTTCACCATATTGATAAACCAATTTTAGGCGAGAGCCTTAAAAATAACTTAAAATCAGGAGATAAAATTACTGATGGGCTCCATACGCCCGAATATCAGAGGAAGGCTTCAAATCCGACTGCTGAGTCATTTCGAGTGCAACTCAATCCGAATCTACCAGACGATGCAAAATCCAACCCAAAACCAAATGGCGTTAATCCCTCAAGTTCGAGTGTATCGGTAAATATTCCAAAATCTAGTGAATCAAGACCTATCCTGGTTCCTTCTGGAAAAATTATGCCGGACGCAAAATCAGTTACTGGTCAGCGTGGCGTAGAAAACCGTGATCAGCTGAACAGCCAGGATTCTTACCGTGTCCCTCAAGAACAGGAATCGGCCTTTGAAGCAGGAAGGATACAACCTAGTCTGGGGAAGGCTGAAGATGCAGGGTCAAACGACGGTCACTTCGATGCGAGATACCGCGCAAGGTATGGACCACTCGTTCAGGACCCGTACCTTGGTTGCTTTGATTGGCTGAACCCCAAGGGCAAGTTTGAGGAGGATTTATTTTCGGCGAAAAATCCTTTCGCAAAAATTTTAGGATCGAAACCTAAGTCATCGTATCCCGTCGCAACAAACAATATAAATTATGGTATCGTTGAGCCAAACTACGGAAACTACCCTATTTATTCCTTCGACAACACAAATCCCGTTCAGAATTTCAACCACCAAACGAACCCGGTTTTCCACCCCGCCGAGCCGTCATTTAAACCACCGGGTTACAATCCCTCCATTTGGGATTTGAGCCAAAAACCTGGTAACGTTATCGTATCTCCGATTAAGAAACCGTTGTTTACCCCCTACGACAACGCAGTTCCTGTGAGATATGCAGACGAGGAGGTTCAATTTTTCAAAGCTTTAACAAATAATTTTGAACCTGTACCCGTACCTGTACCTGTCCCTGTACCGGTAACGCCCGCAATCTCAGACTTCAATGCCGACGGTGTCCGCACGAACTGGCCAAGGGACCCGAAAACTTTAGTCCAAGGTGATCCCTCCAAGGGAGAAACCCCACAAGTACCAACGGTGCCTGAAGCGCAACCTGGAAAAATCCCTGCCCTCGTCATTATACCAGCCAAGGACCAAGGAAATACTCAGGAGCAAGATTCTTCAGTTAGCACCATCAACACGTCGAAAAATTACAATTTGCTTCCTATTCAGTTACCGGCTAGTTTCCTTAATAATTTAATCAATACTGGGCTCTTCTCAGCGTTTCTGAACAATTTACCAGGATCTGACTCAACTGCCAAAACCAAAGCACCAGGCACGTCGCTCTCTCTACTTAGTCCAGTGAAACATCAAATCGAACTCTATAACCCTACTCTCCGCGGATACCACGGTGGTATTAATCCTTTCGCCCATCATCATTCAGGAGTCGGTTATAAAGCGTATTAAACTCATGGTACCTCCGTTAAATAATGCCATGCTTTACCTCTGAATTTTTTAAAGAAAAAGAGGCCAAGTCTAGTCATTTCTTGTATACCTATCGCGGAAAAAGATTTTTGTGAAAGCATTCTGTGAAAAGCTCGCTAAATCTCGTTCCCTGTATTGTAAAGAGAATTTGTTTTCTTTCGAGTCTTACGCCTGGAAAAGTCGCCACAAATAATAAAAAAAATTTTTAAAAAAAAAATTGGTTTTGCATATTTTTCTTTTTTTTTGCCATTCCGCATAATGTAGCATATTAGATCGTTTCGACCTAGATCGTTTTTAGTGATAGTTTTCTGAGAGCTAATACTTGACGATAGTACTGGCGGTCAGCCTCATACTCTTGTAATTTAATACTGGTTTTTTCTTATTTTTTTCTTATTTTAGGGGAAAAGGACCTCAATTAAATCTCTGGGGTTACAGGAGCTTGTCGCTTAGAATCACTTTATATGCAAAGAATGAATGACTTGCTTCTTCTTACAAAAATCATTTCACTTCAGCTATTTTAGAAATTCATGTGAAAGATTGCTTAATTCACAAAACATCTTAAGTCTAATGTATTCGAAACATTATTCAGTCTAAATACAAAGAAATCGTGGGTAGTTTCCAAGTCCTCAAACTATTGAACTCGATTGATACATACAAGATAGGTATCGTCTCGAGGCTTTTTATTAGTATCTTTTGAGGATTTATGTCTGGTGTTGTCCACAAGCCTTGCCCTCCAATGAACTGTGTTGAATTTTATTCTTAATATTGACCTTTCTCTTTTAACGACTTGAATTAATTTTTAATTGATGTCTTGCCAAGATTTACTTTAAGTATATTTGAATAACTGAAAAACTCTCCGATAATGTCCAGACTTGCATATGAGCTGCATGGACTTACGCGAAAGTGGTAGGCTACAAAAGAAGCAAGACTATCCACTCCATAGTTAAAATCGTTAAAATTTTAAGTCAAAATTATTAGAAACTCGAATTTAAAAAAAATATTCCTGACAGTACGAGATTAAATTCCTTTTTTTCATTGTTTTTGAAGGAAGGGAAACTATTGAATTTGCAAAAATAATACATTTTATTTTTAAGTACACTTAAAATATACAATACTGGTTTGAATACTCTATCTAATATACAATATTTTAAGTCTATGAGGAAAAAATGTACAAAGGTACCCGACATGAATGGATAAATTCTTCTTTCCATTCTCTATGAAAGGAGGGAAAATAAGGGTAATTCTTTTTAAGTAAGTTATAAAATTGACTAAAAGTAAATAAGGTAACACTGAGTATTTTTGGTATAGAAACAACTATGACTCTTCATAGCCCTTTGCACCGATAAATTCCATATTTAAGGATGCATCTTCTGAAGTTTCTTTTACTTTTTTCCTGCAGTCTAATCGCAAAATAAAATTACTGCTCCAGGTGGATGCTTTTGACTTGGTGGCATTGAAACATGTTATATAAAATTGGCACATGGGTCTCTCTTCTAATGTAAGAGTCCAGAAGGGCCAAATTTTTATTTATTTTTTTCAGCAAATTTATGTTGAATTTTGGGCACATATTTATTTTATAATAAATGATATGTACTACATTGCTTGTGTGGAGTTACAAAAAATCGCAGTAATGAAGAAAAATATCGGATATCGATAAAAAATAATGTTGTGAAAAAGTAGAAAAACAAACACATGACTAATGTGGTCAAAAGATAATAACATACAGCCTGTAACAGCAAAGTGGGCTCAAATCTGAAAGCACCCATGTAGACATTATTGTGCTTGCACTTTAACGACAAATCAATCCAACCCCAACACTTTTTGGGGACAACTTTGACGCGGATAAAATTTTTATTTTATTAGAGGACAGAGCTGAAAATTATGAGAAGAACCCGCTATTTCTTCAAAGCAAAAATAATGAGTTCAATCAATGAGCGACGTAGGCACAGTTGGACTGCGTTAAACAGGAAAGAACCAAGCCACATCAGTTATCGCCAAATTGAATTGGGCAATTTAATTTTTTACATGAGAACGGTTGTGCGGATTTTCGCGCAAATTCCCGTGATTCTTCTCCATAGCATGAAGCAAATCTTTACAATTTTCAAAAAATTCGCACAAACGTTCTCTTTTAAGAAATTAAATTGCCCAGTTTTTAGCATTAGCTGATGTGGCTTGGTTCCTCCCAGTTAAACGCGGTCGCGGTCTAGTTGACGCACACCAATCGCTGAAATCGAAAAAGACTGATCTTAATTTCAACTTTTTGAACTGTTCGATTATTTATTATTTTTATTTTAAAGAAAACTAATCCAAAAATCTCCCGAATATTTAATTTGCACTTCTGGAAATAGCTGAAGAAAATTTCATGAGGACAAAAAATTAGCGGGTCAGTTTTCTTTGAAAAAAGTAAATAAATGAGACATGAGCGGTTATTTAAAACGTCGCAGTCGGAGGTCCGTACTTTGCAAACTGAGACATCTTTATGTGACCCATAATTGTATCACATTTTGCAATAAGGAATCACTATTTCTGTATCATTTTAGAAGCAGGATATATGCCATTGGTTTTCCTCTGTGCAGAGGTTCTTTTGAGGAAGAGCCAGGAATAGTGGTTCCTTATTGCAAAATGTAATCCCATTGTAGTATCTACTTAATATCTGCGTATCGGCAGGATAATGGTTTTATGAGCTGCATATAATATACTGCGGTAATCACAGGCAATATGTATAACATTAAGCGTGGGTAACATTGATAGTGTTTGCATTTTTGGATCAGAATCAAAGACATTGACCTCGGTATTGATTAAAAGACGATAGTGTAGGAATAATCTAAGAGGCAAACAAAAATTGCATTATGACGCCGTTTGCATGTATGAAAATGTTGCGTCCGATCAACACGGAGGGAACTGCATTGGATGTGGCTGAATAGTTAGAGCAACTGATCTCTACCATCCATCATTCTTACCGAGATGTACCTCAAACCCACATACTTTGTTCTTATTATCTGAAGTATTAAATAAAATTTTGCCTCGTCACAAAGCAAAATTGTAGGTCAGTTCTATCGGCTCTGAGTAAGAGTTACTTTCCAGTCAAAATCTCAATAGGTGCTCTGAATACTTCATAAACTTCAACCTCCCATAAAGGTCTTTGGTTTTAATAACTAGAAAATCTTATCTTGCTGGTTAAGATTTCACATTTATTTTTGGCTTTTTTCAGCTCCATTAAGTCGATTTTTCTTTTTTTCTTTATTTTTCATTTGTTTTTCTGAGTCAAAAAATATTGTTGATATTTGGTGAGCAAATGCATCAGACTAACATTTCTTCCGACAGAACAAATGACAATTTTACTAGCTTGAAGTCAAATCGTAAACCAGAGGTGATAGAACTGACCCTAAAAGATAAACTACCATGCCGTGCTGAAAAATTAAGAGTGCGAGGCTGAATGCCAGTGCTGAAGGTGTAAGCACAAATAAAACTGTAGGCAGGGGAAAGTAAGTGAAAGAGTGCAAAATAAGCTTAAAGGTATTGAAGATGCTTGTGCTACGCGCCGATAACAACAGAGAAACGCTCTGAGAGAACACATGCAAGGAAAATTGCTTCACGAGAATTTGCAGGCATTGCACAGTTCGTAAGGCGGTGAGTAACAACATTACATGCAGCCTAGTCGTGCTCATGATTCCTGCAGAAGCTGAAGAGACCTGGAAAGATAGGATAAATAATGAAAGAAATGTCGATAATTATTAACAATGTAATTCAATCCGAGGGCAGAAGGTGATAGATGTGATAGAACAAGCAGAAATTGTGTAAATGATGGAGAAAAAATGGGGAAAGAAAAAAAAAACAAAGCTCCTCTTAGAAAAGTACTTACTATAGAAATTACTTACAAAAATCATTCTCGGCAAATTTTCATTGTCATAATCTCATTTTCCTTCATCGTATTTCAATATATTCGGAGTTTTACGTTAATGTATCAGTGAAGTTTTGAGCTTCATTGAGTCTCAATATTTAAATCGTAATCTGATAAAAATCCTGAAACTGTAAAACTTGGGGTGATACTTTATAGTCATGATTTGTTCTCATATCATTGCAATACGCACAGTTCAGGAAAAGCAAAGATTTGTTATTTTGCAGAGATAGTGTGCAAATGACATAGCCAGAATGGTAAAGAAAAATGAATAAAACAAGACACAACAACATATACATGCATACAAGGCATACATAACAAACAACACAAGGCATATTAAAACACTAAAAAGGCAGGGCGTTTCAAGCAGTCGCGTAACAGGCATAAGCCTGCCTGCAAAAATAATCAAAATTAATATAAAATCAAGAGGCGAGGGCAACCTGACCCCAGTTGGCAGCAGTTGATGCCGTGGTTGCGTGTTAACAACTAGAATTAAGGCCATCACTCATTTTTTTTTTTTATTAATTTTCATTTTTTTGGAGCTGAAAATGAATCTGCAACGGCTCGAAACGTCCTGCCTATCAAATATTTCAATACTTTAGCCTATTCCCCCATTTTTCAGTGCATATTAATTCTGTCACATTATTTTTTAAAATGAAGGATTATCGACACAATTAAGCAGCCAAATGGACAATTTCGGTCGTGTAAATCAGGACATCAGTGGCGTGTATCTTTGAGCATAGGAGGAAAGAATCATCAAACGGTAAGGAAGAGTGGTATATGAAATGCATAACCTGAACTTAGAAACTTCTCTATGAAGCTCAGCTGTATTGAAAATCACCCTTATATCGATTTACAAACAAACCTGTCAAGAAAAAGGGTGACTGTGTTAACGTCTTCAATTTAAAAGGCCGACAATGCCTTCAAGAAGCTGTTCTTCAAAAACGCTTCAGAAAACTGCGCAATGTTTGTTTAAGGACCCCTTTATTGGCTATTTTCTAAAGTACATACATACATAAAGTCGCGATTATAGCGCCGCCTCGCGCTCTGCGACGCCCAATCGCCATTGCCCCCTATCCTCCCAGAGATCATCAGGCAATTGGCACCTTCTGATCTCCTCCTCCACCCCTTGTCGCCAACCTTTCACAGGACGTCCACGCCGTCGCCTTCCGGGAGGAACCCAATCGAAGACCTGCTTGGGTAAAAAAAAGTAAAATCTAGTTGGGTCTAGATCTGGTTGGGTAAGTTGGGTCTAAAGTAAAATTTTAAATTGTTGTAAAATAAAAAAATCTTTCAAACAAAAGTTACTAGTTTTCACGAGTTTTGAAGAACTGCAGTTAATACCATGAAAATTTTTTTAAACCTTTTTACCTCTATTTTACTTGAATTTTAATTTAAAAAATACTTTTCCTGAAAAAGGATTCCTTAATTGGAGCGTTTTAACAAGTTTTCTGAGGGTTGCCTTTTTAAATTCTACGAGTTTTTTAAAAGTTTTTTTTTTTTTTTTTTTTTTTTTTTTTTTTAAACAACCGTTGCTACGAAGGAATCTCAGTTCAGTTTCAAGTCAATCCACCTGCTACGTGTGTCAAATAATGAGGATTCCACATCCCCGTTTTAAAATGCAACTCGGCCTCGCTTTCTGGTGCAGGCTCGAGAGCTACCCCTATTAAAAATAAACGGTGTCAGAAAAAGGGGTTGAATCTCCTGACCTCCCGGTAGAAGGGGCGGAGATACCTATTAATATTGTTATAGGAGTAGGTCGTCGGGCGACGCCGTCGTTTCTTCTCGTTATTGGTCTCGGTGACGGGGATGACATTGCTGTTGTCATCGGTATCATCGTCATCATCACCATCATCGTCGTCGCCGTCGTCGCCTCCAGGGGTGCTCGGCAGAGACGGGAGCGACGGGAGGGAGGGGACGGATGGAAAGGAGGGGAGTGAGGGAAGCGCCGGGAGGGAGGGGGGAGCGCCCAAACTGCCGGGGATGTTACAGGAGCTTCCGTAATTACCTCCGCCTTGGCCGGGGTAGTAGGTGGGTCGCCCGCCGCCGCCGCCGCCGCCGTTGACGTGAACGTTTGTGCTCTGGATAACGGGGAGGAAGAAGCGGCCTTGAGCTTGGGCTTGTGGGGGGCTCTGGAGGCTCCTCCGGCGCCGGCCCAGGAGACAGGACAGGAGAAGTCGCTTGATCTGCCGGTGGATGACGCGTGGCTCCGCCTCCGGCTCGCCTCGTAGGGACCGTGTCTCGCCGGAGGACTGACCGTTCGGGAACTGGACAGGACCACCGCAGATCGCCAGGACGTTGTAGAAGAGCAGCAGAGCGCGCACCAGCCACTGCAACTGAGAGTAAAGGAACGTGAGGACGTATTCCTGCCGAACGGAACTATACTGTTGTACTAAGGAAAAACGTCAGATGGACGTATTTCTATCAAACGGACCTAAGCGCCATAGGGTGAGGAAGGTAGAGGGGGGCATGGATTGGCGGCGGAATCGGGCGTCCGGCTTGTTCCGTCCTATACTCGCAATGCTTTTCCATGGCGCCTAGTTCCGTTTGACAGAACGCGCTATCCGGCATTCTAATTTCCTCCAAAAGAACTCAAATTGGCGCTTAGTTCCGTTTGATAGAAAAACGTTCATATGACCCTTCAGGTGTTGCCAAATTTCCATTCATAAAACACGAATTTTCTGGTAAACTTAGGAATATTTTACGTCCTATTTTTCAGATAATTCGCTTGCAATTTCACCTGAAGTTCCTGAAAATTTCAAGGAAGAATATTCATAACTTTCCTAAAAAATGAACATTTTATTGAAGGAAATCTGGCAACTCTCGAATGTTCATACGGCGTTTTTCCTTAGCACTGCCGTATAGACGAGTGGGAAAGATGAGGTGTGCTCTAGAAAGCTGCATAAGAAACAATGTAAAGATGGGCGTGATTCCCTTTGAAGAAGTGGAAAAGCAGGATTTTACATTCTGTCAAACGGAACTATGTCGTCAATTTACGGCCAAAGTATCACAAGCGCCATGCGACGATTCAAAATTTCCGCCACCATTTTAATTCTTAACAATGAAGCAATTAAAAATAAAAAATAAATTAAAATAAAAACCAGCATTGGGCGTTACATAGTGTCTCATTTATACCAATTTCACTATGTATCGCTGTTTGCTGGTTTTTATTTTAATTTCTTTTTATTTTTAATTTTTTTTGCAGTTGATAATGGTGCCGTAAGGTACCGAAACGTCCTGCCTTTATATTTTGTATTTTAGCCTTGTTTCCGCTTTTTCCTGTGTTTTTGATTGTCGTTAAGTAACAGCCAGGCGATAAAGTGTATGCTAAACGTTACTAATTACGGATGCTAGGACCTAGTGAGTTTTTGTAATACTGCTCTCTTTTTGGGCCGTAGTATGTTGATTTATTTTACGGGGAAAGCTCCGTACTTTTGATGGATGCCCGCCATTTCTAATATATTAGAGCGCCTTCAGTTTCGTATGATACTGTGCAATACCTCTGGTGTGAAATAGTTGCTTCAAGCGCCGTGGTACGCTGCGGCGCAGCGCGGCGTGCGGGCAGCCAGCGCGAAACGCGCATTGGCGCCTACAAACCTAACAGGGATACTTCACGCGTTGCGCAATGCGTGAAGTATCCCCGTTAGGTTTGTAGGCGCCAATGCGCCGCCGCTCCGCTTTGTGTTAGGCTCCAATATTTAATCTGGCGGAGTCAGCGTTATTCAACTCGTGATTTTGAAATGTTTGCACAACCTGTATGGATTATTCTCATTTCAATTGATGAAAAAAATATGAATTAAAGGAAAATATAATGTGTGTTTTGTAAATATTAAGGTGGTTCCGTATCAAACTTAATGATTTCCAAAGCACACGAATTTCTACACAATTTCTTATAGCATTTTATGATCGATGGCGAAAAAGCAACAGCCAGGCGATGAAGTGTAAAGCCCGGCGATAGGAACTATAGCCGGCTGCATAATTTTCTATCGCTTCGTATAGCCCGGCCGTTTGATTTTCTCCGCATTCTACAGCCAGCAATATGATTTCCTGTAGCCTTTTTAAGCCGGCTATAAGAATTCCTATGGTATTTTGAAACGCAGCTCTTATCACCAAATTTTACCAGGGAGATGCGTCCTCTCAAAGAATCGTATTCCGTCGAATTTCAGTTCCTAATTTGTCTGCTACCCTCTGTTTCAAATTTCCGCTCATACTTCGTCATTCTTCAGTCAAAAGAACGTAACTAGATTTCAACTCGCAAATTTCCTCTCACAAATTGTATTTTATACTAGAAAAGTGTTGAGTATTTCCAGTTGAAATTGTCACAAATACACCCTCTAATTACATGAATAAATCGGAAAGTTTTTTTAACAGTAATCGCGCAGTCATGTTCCGGTAAAAGCGTCACTCATTTGAATCAATTTTGCAACCTTCGAATGGAGTTACTATCTTTCGTCTGAAAGACGACGATTTATGACCGTATAAGTCAAAAGATGTTACATTGATACATTATCATCACTGCTGGGGTCTGCAGAGTTGTAGAGTGTGGCAAGTTTCACTTGCAATAAAGACCATGCAAAATGTATTTTATTTATTCACGACAGAGAGCTTGAACTTTTTAGCATTTAAAAGAATCTATAGAGTTAGTTCTCTTGGATCCCATCTTTGTGCACGCTCTCGTTCCTCCACTCCTCCTGTCTCGAAACAGGCAATTAGAATAAATATCGTTTCATATCACGAATCATAAAGCAGTAAAAATACACATTCCTAGCGGTTTTAATACGGCTCATTCCTTCGTCAATTATTACACCTCATTCTCTCTAAGGAGGCAAAAACAAGCGTAGTCATTCAATTAGAGAGAGAATAATTGAGTTATTGCTTCATCGAACTATCAAACCTTCGATTTTACTATGCGCGGCTGCAATATTAGATGCCTCCCCGTTGTTGCATCTCATTTGTCATAGAAATCGATCCATTCATGGATAATTTTTTTACAAACTGATTGCGGTAGACGCACGGGTCGTATAGACAGTAAGATGGAATTTTTTAGCCAACATGCGCTAAAAATCAGCATTAATGCTGATTTTTAGCGCACGTTGGCTAAAAAATTCCAACTTACTGTCTATAATTTTTTTACCTTTAACCTCACGTGAGCCCAACGATCTTTAAACCCAACCAACAACCTTAGCTGCTATAAGGTCTCGATAGACGATCAAATTCCCGAACCAATTACCGTCAAAGTGACGGGAGTCATCAGTCTTAAACTCATTAATTTGCTCAATTTTAAAATGAAAACTTGGCAGAAATGTTTCCTGTGGCAGGTAATGATGAATGGTGGCACTCCATTCTGATCTTACTTTGAACAAAATAGTGCGGCCCTTCAAAATTTGATGGTAGATGGTGACCATCAGTCATCAGCATGTCTACTTTGATCGGAATTGGTTCGGATTTGATCGTCTATCCAGGGCTAAACTCGCATTTTGCAAAATCAAAATATTACGGCTTACCTTCATTTTAACCGCAACTAAACAAAATAATGTAATAAAAAAACACGTTTAGACAATCATTGGATAAGAACACTGACTGACTGAGAACGAAAGTGTTCTGTCTCTCGTTCGGTCAATGAAAACCCACACGAAAGGCCTCATTATCTCGCTCGGGTGTTTGGTAGACCCACTCGGACGCCAAAACCCCCCATCGGTGCCAAAATTCACCTGCACAATTCAAAATTTGCACGGGTGTAATGAGCGGACCCGGCAGTGTAGACTTATCTGACAACGACTCCCTCGGCTCTTGCTGACACCATTGACCCACACACAGAGGGTCATATTGGTTTTTGCTGCGGATAACGAATAATTCCACCTTTAGTATGTAATACACTTAGATTTAATCAGTTTAAACGTACGACTTAATATTTCAGATGACTAAGATAATTCTTATTATTTTTAGAGGCGCACTGAAAAAAAAATCTCGGTGTATTTACCAAGAAAGGGATAAAATTACCATTTATGGGATTGGTAATTTTACCGAGAAATCTCGGTAAAATTATTGACTCTCTCGGTAATTTTACTAATCCCTGGTAAAAACGCCAATATTTTTTATCGACTGTGGTAAAATTACCGAGATAAAATGGCAAAGTTACCGGGAATTGATTACCAATAAAAGTGGTATTCTTACCAGAAAAAACAGTAAAAATACCGGTTTTTAGGTAAGCTTACCAGTCTGTCTCAGTAAAATTACCAATAATTGGTAAAGAAAGTGAGATGGTAAAGGCACCAACGGACCTTGGTAAAAAAGCCGAGAGTTTTTTTTCAGTGCGAGAGTTTTGTAATTGTGTTGGTTTGAAACTTGAATATTTTTATTCCGATTTGGGTAGGGTTCGGTCCACCTAGCGACGGTGTCACAGACTTGCCGGTCATTTCGTCACCGTCACACGCAATGCATGTCGTTCGCGTGAACCTAATTCATAGGCCCGTCAATACGACTCTTTATCCCGAGAATCGGCCCCTTCCATCCCACGCGGAGATGCCCGAAACAATGATTAATTATGCTAATCTTGGAGCGGAATTTTGTCACCCGGTCCTAGGTCAAGTTTATCGCCCGATTCAAATGTAGATCATACCGCTGTTCAATTTATAAAACTGTATTTAAGCTGGTTCAAGGTTAAGATTAGGCGAAATTAGTACTACAGTTTTGAGTTAAAATATTCGAGTGTTTCGAGTATCAGTTTTCCTCAAAAAACTTGGCAGGATGATTGTTAGACAGAGCAATAGACAAAGAGGACACAAGGAGAATGGAACGATCTTATTGGTTGAAATGAGTGGTTCTAAAAAACTAAGGGAAAAAATGATGGACTGTAACTATAGGGTCTCCCGTGGGTTGCCGGTTGCCGTTTAGTTGAATAGCATTTTGCAAAAAGGAACCACGAGTATTCCAGTGTTGCTAAGATTGTGTAACTTACATTCTTACATTAAAAATACTAAAATCATGAAAAAATAAATTTACAAAGGTAATTTTCGTCTGAAAGTTATTAAGTATATAGGGAGTAAAGATAAAATTTGTTGAGATAATCTGTTCATATCTGCAAGACAAACAAAGTTCCACAATCTTAGCGACATTGGAATGCACTTGGTTCCTTTTTGAAAAATGCAATCCAGTTAGTCTATTACCTACCTCGTCTGTTAATTGCAATCGCCCGCCTACACCAATAGAATCCCTCCGTTTCCTTTTTGTCCTCTTTGTCTATCGCTTTGTCTACCGATTTCAACAATCAGCCCGCAGCATAGTATAAAAGACTGTGTAATTGTAAATGATGAGTTTAACAATCTACCTCATGAAAGTTTCTATAGGAGGGGGGGGGTGTTGAGGAGAGCGTTACGCCATTTTGTTTCAATGAACAAAGAGTTGTAAAATGCACGCATACATTAAATGCAGGAGGAGTTATTAATGTTGTAGATTAAAACAGTTCTCCTGTCATTGACCTCCACGGCTGCAAATCCATAGGTCATGTACAAAATATCGAGTTTACGATCTGACGTGTAAAAAAAAAATCACATTAAAAAGCAATGACAATGTAACTCTCTTAAAACAAATAGGCGCGCAGTCCTCATCACTGTGATAATGGACCATTAAAAAGTGTGACCCAAAAATAATGCGAAAACCACACCTTAGGTGCTACTTGTTGCGGCATGTTCCCATTTGATCAAAGCGATTGATATTTTTCAAGAGATCTGAGATCGTCTCGAAACAGTGGCAGCTGCTACCTGCAGCGCGCTCATAAATTTATAGCGAAAATATTACCCCAATAATGTATGCACTATGGTGAAAGTGCAAATCATCAAAACGTATAAAACTTAGATTTCATCACTCATGTAAATAAATACATGATGAATTGTGGTTTCTGTGGATTATGGAGGGATATTGAGGACTTAAAATGATCATTTTGACCAAGTATCCAATTTAATATCTAACAGTCATTCCGGATCAAAACAAGGGTTTTATCGTGTATTTTTATTTCATACATGGACTACATTTTGCAATTAAACTACAATTTCTGGCTCATCCGTAAAAATACTTATGTGCATAGAGAAACCAATGGTAAATAGGTTGTTTCGAACATGAGCTAGAGTTTGTGGCTCCTAATTACAAAATGTAGTGCAAGTAAATAAAGGAAATTCGGAAAGTGCCTGGGGAGAACAAAAATTCCTCTGAGAACAACCTCGATTAAGTTTCATTTTCACCATCGAAATCATTTATTGCAAGATTGAATAACGAAACGTGGAGATCTCTAGATCGTAAATCTCTTGTTTTAGCTTCCCTTTTCATTCTACTGACAATATTAGGCTAAGGCTGAGGATGAACTGAGAATACTGAACGACCAGTCCAGACGCGCCACCGAATATTTTTCGATGTTTCCTCAAGACGGGTGGGAGACACCGCTGGGCTGATTTTGCAATAAAATATAATAAAATACCTGCCCAGACTGAACACTCCGTGTGCTATGTGTGGAGCATCCTCGTAATTGATATGCACATCGCATATCTAGGTAACGACTGCAAGGTCACTCGAGTCGAGTCAGCCTCAAGAAAATACGATATAACCTGACTAAAAAAACCACCATAATTTGTTTCCTTTTATCCAGTTAGCTCCTTGCAATATAAAAACGCTACGATTCTATTTGAGGGGCTTGGAGGACAAGGCGCACAAGTGCAGTTTTTGAAACAAATTTATATATTAGTGATTTCAGGCAAAATTAGTCTTAATGAATATTCTGTGAAAAATTTGCTCCCTAATTCCAATTTTTAAGCATCAAAAAGTCAGTTTGAACTTTCTTTTCTTCTTAAGGATCCGTGTAATTCCGAAACTTCAGACTCGTATTTCTCGAAATAGCAAAAACTGCACTTTGGTGCCTTGTCTTCCGAGCCCCTCATTAATTACTACGGGAAGTTTTTGCAGCGTATTCGCACATTTTATTGTGTCTTCAAAATAAAAAAAAAATTGGAAGTGAAGTTTCCGCCGCGTTTGGCGTTTTTTAGTTTTGTTAAAATCATAGTCGGTACGTATCTAAAGCGTGTTTGCGAGTCACGCGATGTAGAATGATGATAAATTAACACAAGAAAGCACGCAACGTTGATTTTTTCCAGCTCACGCGAAGCGTTGTTACTTCCCTGTTAGGCCAACTTCTCCTTTGTGAGGTTGAAAGAGGAAACGTCATCCAGGATGCAAATTGATTCGTTCATCGCATCAAACTGCCAGGGTGTGTTGGGAACTTATTTTGGTCAATCGGAGTGTGTACCTTTTTGATACGATAGAAGGTCACGTGATCTTCAGCTTATCGTTTTTTTAAATCTTTTTTTTTTTTATGGTGGAGATGCTCAACAGTTAGCTGCGGTTGAAATGTTGTGTAAGTTAATGTCTCAAGGCCACTTCAATGCAGACAATCAGGAAAACATACTCTTAAATAAAGCACCCATGCGATTGACATACTGCGATCATAGCTTTACCTAAAATGTATCAAATGATACCAAATTGTCATCTTGTGTTGTATAGGTTTTAGACTGTTCTTACAAATTATTTTTCAGGTTGACTTAGGGACTTATTTCTTCCATAAAATTTAAATATTTTGTCTCGTAGTTTTTATTGATATTTCCGAACATTTATTGAGTACATTGGAGGCCATTGTGGGTATTATATGTATTAATTTTATTTAGGTGCAATTTTTACTCATTTTAAGTCATGTGCGCTTTTTTATTTAGACTCTGCCTTGATTCCCGAAACTAAGTAATTGCTTACCGACATATTTTCTCCTAATATAAATTAATCAGCCTTGGTGTTATGAAAAATTTTACAAGTTTTATAGTGATAAATACTTTTTGTAAATATATATATGCCCTCCCGTCTTTCCATCCAACTTGCTCATCCATTGTGAAAACTAAATTGAATTTAAGTAATAAAACGTAATTATACGAACCTGAGCCGCGAGCCGGTCAAGATAGTTTGCAAATTAAAGGCTTTGGTAAATTTCAACTCTCAAATCCAAGGAGGTGAGCAGTTATTAAAATACATATTAAAAAAGAAAGAGAAACAAATTGACATTTTAAAAATGTTAGCTTTACACGGCAGGTGTCTTAATGGAGTGATATTTCACGTTCCTGCACAATTTTGTTTCGGACGAACATCAACGAGAGGTTAATTGCTCGCTGTATAGTCATGTTGAATCGTGATAGGATCAGATTTCATTAAATTCGTGATTTTTGATTGAGAAAGAAAACTAGTTTCGAGAAAAAAATGTTCGAAAGGTTTTTACCTACTATGATATTCTTATGTTTACTCTAAATTGCGATGCGCAGTGGGTCTGGAGGTTAATGTCCCTTTAACTCTAGAATTTTAATGATGTGACCTCCTTGACTATAGTTTTAAGTCACAATACGCATGTTATTCACCTTTCTGTTTCAGTTGGAACGTTTTAAAAAGTGTTGGTGATTGCTACGGTGATTTGCTGACCATTTTCGTTTCAACTAACGGATCATCCCCTTTTATGCTGTGCAACTTCAATAACGAGTAATTTCGATGTCCCTTCGACTCTG